ATTATTTAGGTTATCTTATGTTGGTACATAATCTAAGAGATATCCTTCTTTTAATCATATATATAGACGCCTTTAACGCTACAGAACATTTTATATGAAATGAAGTTTGTTCATATTTAGCCTATATTTTATAATAATAGTAAAAATAGACTGATCAATTACAGTTGTAAACATAATGGGACGATTTAAAAAGCAACCAATATAAAGGAATTAGATTTCTCCTCATTGCACAAGTCAGTTGGCTATCTGAACTGATTAGCTAAGTGGACAGTGTGGTGGTGTTTGGAGCGAATGGTTCTAATCTCGGGGTGAATATTAACTGCAGGACGCAGGTAAATCCAGTTGGTGAGTCCCAAATAGGACGTAACACGCTTTCTGGATTTCACTCCTGGTTACTATCCATCCTTGTTTAAAAATGCTTATGAATTACTGACAATATCAAAGCAATCCTCACAGAATTGACACTTATCAACTATAGTTCTAAACATCAAAAAGTGACCAACGATATTATCCGGTTGTTCAATCCGATGTAGGCAAAATGAGCCTTAGTTTTAAAACTGACTAACTTTCCGGAAGTTGGACGCCTTAACTACTATGTCACTTTCATATTCATAGTTCATCTTAAAGAGAGCAAGAACAAAGATTCCTTGTTTTGAAATTTATTCTGCCATGTATATCACTATCTACAAATCTTTATTTCCGAATTTTTAATATTTCTATTCATAATTCGTATAAATATAGCTTGTTATACCATTGTCAAGCTTCCTTGAACCAGTTGAATCGAACTCATCCATGATTCGTGTTTATGCGGCTGCAATTCTATCTGGTACAGTTCAAATAACTCGTCAACCTTTATTGTTCTTGATAGCTGTACATCATTTAAATCGGTGAGTCTGGATTTATTAAAACAAAAAATTACCTATGAATACAACATCCCTTTCATAATTCCAGGTGTATGAAAGATAGACTTTGTTAGGTACCTACCCTTGAAAATATTATTTTTCTGCTTATTGTCGAAAGTTTGCGATAAACCTGATAATTAAGTGTGAACATGAGAGACTTAGTGATCTTGACCAACTCTGGACTCAGTCCAAACAATCAGAAAACTGTAATTATGAAAATATGATTTACAGTGATAGGATTAGCATGGCTCAATATCGATCACATTGGCGTCGTTGTATACATTCTTTATTTTTCCTTAAACTATGAAATTAAAATCGCTTCATATCTTTCTACGAACTAATTCTCTCCTCATGTACTATGTCCCTATATACAATCTTTCTTTTACATATTACCACCACTGAATTAACTACTTTTATGAATCCAGTGTTCATGTTGTTGTGTTGATGAGGTATGGCAACTTGAACCAATGCATATATGTGCCTGGTACTACGTTGTAGCTGACTAACTGAATAGCATTTACGCTTTACCATTTCTGCACGTGTATCTCAATCGTGTAATTAGACGCTGTGTTACTTTGAGCATCTATTTAGTATCCCATGGATTGTCATATCACATACGTAATCCGACTTAGGATAAATAACGAACAGTTTTGAACATATCTTTAGACAGCCAATTATAGTCAATGTAGAATCCAAGAGTGTATATACGTTTATCTAAGTTCTCACATATTAACGTAATGAGTTTACAAAGTTTAACTACAAAGGAATTAAAATAATATAGCAGCTACCATTCTAAGAAAGATTAAACAACCCGAATATGATTCGAAAATACAGGTGCACAATCTTTACAGCGCATGATAAAAAAGGTATAGCGACTCACGTGCGATTGAGTTTATTCTCATTTATCTCAGTTAAGCCCTTTTGTTAACTTATTTAGCAGACAAAGTCATCCGCATTATAACAACTGATTGTACCTTTATTATTATTGTGTTTGTATGAAATATGTATGCTTGAACATTGCTTGCCGCCTACGCATATATTCATTCTGCTAGCTTTTACTACTATTAGCTGCTTAATTGATTCAATGATCCATTCATTTCCCTATATATAGATTTAACACTACACTCTCGATTCGCTGACTCACTCATTAGCCTCACTGCTTTGTGATCTGATTTATCTGCTAATAAAACCGTAGTCACTGCTTCTCTTTGCCTTCTGATTTTAAACACCGTTGAGGATTATGTGGTAACGGTTGCGAGGGTGATTGGTTAACGAAGCACAGCCACTACAAAAAAATGAATCTGTGCCACTGTGACTGATTTTAACACATGTCACCTAACGTTTAACTTTACAATCTAATAATTGAATTTTATCAAAAGAGAGTTACATAAATGAGTGATAATAACCTAACTCTTTAACTATCTGATTTCTTCATTCCAGCTATTTATACAATAAAGATAATCGGGATAGTGAATTTACTCAACAATTTGTACGTTTATGTAAATTATTACCTCAAGTGACAAATGTCAAACCAACATCATCCTCTCCATCGTCGTCGTCTATGCAAACAATCGGTAATAAAACTGATATTCTAAATTTACTACGATTTTATAAACAGCCTAATAAACAATGGTTACAACAAACGAAATCCATCAAATTGAATACAAATTTACATGTTGGTATACATGATTCATTAGTTCATTTAATTAATATTAATAATACTGATGATTATACCAACATAACTAATGCAACAACATTTAATGAAGCTATTTTAAAAGCATCTATTGAATGTTACAATATTGATACACTACCTAAACATCGTCAACTTTATTGGATTGAATTATTTGAAAGAGAACGAGGAAGAAATGAAAATCAATTTATTACAGGAAATAAAGTTTAAATAAAATCATACACTTGAAGATACTACTTATTTACTTATTAAATTAACATACTATGATATTTACAAACATGTAAATAACATTTAATATGTATTATATTTATCACACTTGTTGTTTCTATAAATAGATTATTAAAAGATTCATTCTCTTATTTGATGTTTCAATCATTCAACTGGCTAAGCGTACAATTACAATTGTGTAAAAGCAATTAAGGAACAAGTAATTTATTTACACTGGACTAAGTATTTTTAGCTGGTAATGAACAAGTCAATTGGTGATGAAAAATCTCCAGTATTAATGGATATTTCACATATATAAATGTGATACGATGAAATTATCTTATGAATAAAAGAAAACTGGTTTGTAGAATTCTAAATGTAACAGAATATTTTAGGGACTATCTGTGCTTTGCGTGGTAACCAAGGTCATAATATTTATCTAGTTTCCAAGTGATGATCGATCAAGTTGAGATTTAGCCATTTTACTGATTTTATGTTGTGTGCACTGTGTTTTTACGTATCGATTGATTAAAGTTAACCGGTAAGTGTTGGTCTGTAGGACTGACTTTTTTCTGATTGTTTGGATTGGTCAACAAGACGTATATGTAGTCTTAAGGGGACCGATGTAGACTAAAAGCTTAAAAACAGTGATAATAAGTGTAAGGAAACAAAAGCGCTTCTGATCACAGAAACGTTTTTATCCAAGTTGAGAAGGAATGATAAAAAGTAAGTCTCACGATCCTTCATATACTGACTATATGAATATCTTACAAACGAAAACTGCCGAGTGAATAGCGACAGGTTCATAAATTGGAAAGGCAGTGTTATAGTTAGCTTGTAGAGGCGAATTTCCCCTATATCTGACTCCAATTGCTAGTATCCTGTTAACTGAGTATTTAATGAAGGCTAAATCTCCCAGTAGAATCATGGATTTACTCGAGATTATTCAAAATCCTGAACACCAGTTAGAGATGGTTTATTGTTAAAGATTGGTAAAATCCGAAAGCGTACAGGAAGTAAGCACACAGGGTAAACAAGAGTGTGTGTGTGTGTGTTAAAAATCCATATATATTTATGAGTGTTAATCAAGTATGGATAAATTATTGATTGTCTGTGTATTACAACCAATAGGAGAGTAGATTGAAAATTGATGTGCAGAAATGTGCTCAATCATACTCACACAGAAAATTACATAGTGAATTAAATCTCTAAATTACAGTGAGCAGATAAATAATACAGTAGTTGAATGGGCTTACTACAAGCTTAACACTTGGCTAATTAGTAATCGGTCGAGAGGGCTTTCATTTCCAAGGAATTAAACACTAACCACTGATAGATTTAAGTTCCCTAGGGATATTTATATCTAAGTGAGTACATACACTTATGGCTCGATTTACTCAAATAAACTTAGTTTCCTACCCTCCGTCTTTCCTCTTAAGTAGTCGAGATCATATAAAAAAAGTGTATCACTATCAAACAGTGTGACAGTAGGCTTCACAACACGTACTAACTGCTTAAAATGATTTATGATACGAACAGGCTAAACAAACGGCTTTTCTAAGCTGTCCAGTTGCTGACCATTTTTGCTGTAATGGTGTCATTTCAAGAGAAACGATAAGAAAGTGACTTCAAATATTGTTAAACTTTGCTGTAACTAAATTTATTCATTCAGTAAAAGATACTGTACGGTTTTCGATATTACTTTGGTCCGGTTACCTCAGTTTATAATACTCATTTGTGTTACATCATGCTTTCAGTTATATTAACATTCTTACCCATGTTTGATTCTTATCTGAACTCCATCTATCCAAACAGTCAATTTTCATTGTATTTCATATTCCTCAATATAAACCTGTTCCCATGACATTCCCAGTTTTTTTCTCTCTAAAGTTCATATAACCATATAAACTATTTCATTTTCTCTGATATAAGCTAAACACAAGTAACCCTTAATATATTTTGAAAACTATTGTTTCTAGGTTATAAACAAAAATAATCTCAGCAATTGAAATTTAAATAATTTCAATGTTTCATCCAGAAAACTTATCTGAACTTCTTCAGTGTAATACAATAAAAAATTATCAAAGAAAATTGTTTTCTCTATAATCGAAGCCTAATTTCTGTCAAACTATTCGTTCAAATATCAACGAATATTTGTATAAATTGTCTACCTGCTTCGATTTGGGCACCCGGGCAGTATCACAGCCCTCACACATATCGAATGAGATTTGTGTGGCGCATATGTATTTGGTGCCTCCTTGTACCAATATCTATGTGTTAAAATAAATTGTCTAAATCCTTAATACAACTAAATACATCTATCTCCATTCAATAGCTGATTGATGTTCCTATTTCTTTTTTTTATCTGATATATTTAAATTAACAAAACGAATAATTTCTGTTCTATGATTTATTTATAATTCGCAACCAGTAAATAATATTTACAAAGTGTTCACGTTTTACAAGTAGAGACCCATTTTTAAATGGAGGCACAACACACGTGAAAAACAAGTAAAAATTGGTACTTATTATTATTATTATATTGAAGAGATAAGATCTGTACAATTAAAGTCAAATTGTTTTGTTTTTCTGATGAAAGACATGAGGAGGATGATGATAATGATGATGACAACTGAGATTGAATGATGAATAGAAATATACGGACAAGTACTATACTTCTAATAATCTACCAACACAACATTTACAATGTGGACAGTCATAACGTAGAGCTTGATATCGTAAATTTTCCAATGTTATATGTGAAATATGATGCTTTTGAATACCATCATTTGTATTGAAATCAGAAACTAGTTTCTTGTCAGTTAGACTTTCCATTTCATCACCTATATCTTCATCGTTTAAATCGGATACACCAGCTTCGAATTCTTTTTCATCTGTGGATAGTTCAATTTCTTCAATGAGGGAGCGAAATTCATTCAGGAATCTGTCTCCCACATGATCTGTAATAATAAAAGTGGAGTTACTAAGTTTAGCAACTGTAATTTTGTTCTTTCAAATCTATGTAATTAACAATTCAATCATTAATTTTTTAGCCTACAACTGAAATCATCTACTGAAAGACTAGGCCGTATCAATGTTAGGTAATAGATACGGTTCAGAAGTAGTTGCAGTAGCGTGGATGATTTATATATATATATATATATATATATATATATATATATATATATATATATATATATATATATATATATATATATATAACTTGGCAAACCACATCCAGCAACTTTTAGTCTTTCTTACTATCGTAAATAATAATACTATTTCAGTTCAGAAACCTGGATTAATGCGTGAATTCGTACCAGGTTTTACTAAATTATTAGTGACTTCTAATTTGATAAAAAGAATCAGATGTCATTCGCACTTAATAGAAATGGCACAAATATATTTGCTTTTAATTTGAAAGTGGTTTTCTTCACAGATTGACATTCGGTTACTGTTGAAATATAAGAAGCATTATGTAGACGTTCAATCATATTAACCACCCTATTGGAAACAGTGAGTCCAGTGCCTCATCCAGATATCGTGGCGAGTGCTCACACTCTATATTCTTTACAATCAGCAAAAATAGCTCTGTAATCCTCTTTAGTACTTCAACAGATGCCAATTGCTGACGAAAACCACCTTCGAATGAAAACTACTCGAGATAGATATGCCAAAGTTAAGTCGGAAAATATGACGCAATATATAACGATAAATAGTGTGTAAACTCCTAGATATGTATTGAGTGATCACAGTAAAAACTTTCTTTAGGGCAAAAGAGTATCGACTCTAATCACGAATAAGTTTAAAGTACATATACTATCGAGTTCTTAAATCGAATCTCAAGATCATACTTAATTTTATAGACAGTGATGTAAAGCGACTGTTCAGAATTTCGGGAACTAGAGTCATGAATTCAAACATTACTTTACAAGAAGAAAATAAATGGTAAGTACAACTAGAATAGTAAATCATTTGCTTCCATTTTTTTAAAGTTACAATCCAATAAAAACTCACTTGAATCATTCGGTGTTGTGTCTACCTGTTGTTTCACAAGCTCTGTTTGATCGTTTGAACAATCATTTTTAATGTATACTGGATTTATTTGTGAAAAAATTTTTCCCAAACGATCACGTAAACGTTTTCTGTCGTCTACTAAACGTTGAAGTAATAGTTCACGAGCTTTTGCACGTTTTGCGGCTGCAGCACGTCGATGCGTAAAGAGTGTTACATATTCTTCAACTGTTGCAGCTTCCATTTCTAGTTGAGCATTTATACTTTCTAATGTACAGCGTTCCTCAGTAACAGAACTAAGTTCTTCCATACATTTTAAAAATTTAGCTTCCAATTGTGTATGAGCAACCTTTAAAATAAATTTAAAATATTCAGTATTTAATTAAGTTTAACTATTATTTATCAAATTCGAAACTGTAAGCACTACAGTATCAGAGATCAATGTAACTAATGAGTGATGTTCATGATTTTATGAAAGATAAAGAATGCATTTGTTCTTCATTGCCCAATGTATCTGATGTATCCGTACGTTATGGTAATATTTCTCAACTCTGATATCAATAGAATGGGCCAGTATAATTATACCCTTCCTCCCTGGTCAATTAACTAGAGTAAAAGTAATCAGTTTCATAATGGAAGCTTGGTTGATGACGACCACAGTATAGATGAATAAACATTTTAACCCCACTCACTCCACATACTGAGCAGTTAGAAATAACCAAGAAGTCCGTATATATGGGTAATTGTGTAAGTACTAGTAGTGATGTGAGTGATGAGATCAATTCACGTGTAGTGAAAGTTAGAGCGGCTTATGTCAATATGGACCATCAATGGTCCATTTAAGGTGTTAGCCATGCTGTAAAAGGTCGCATTCACAACGCGTCGATGAGAACAGTTTTGCTATATGCGTGGGAAATCTAGTCTCTCCAAGTTCACAATGTTAGACAACTCTCTGCGTTTGATCATCGTTAACTCTGAAGAATTGCTGACACTGACTGGCAACACCATGTTAGTAGCGCATTAATCCGACAAAGTGTATTCGAGAACTGTGACGATAGTTCAATTACTATCACCATCTTGAAACGTCGACTTTGGCGGCTTGAATAAGTACGTGCATTATTTGCCGATGCTGGGACTGATTAGAAAAAGAGGAGACGTGGTCAGTGCATGACCTGGTGTTATGATATGAAATAAAGCTGTAGAGGACTGGCATTTGTCAGTCCATCACAACTCCTTAGTTGGGGTTATGATAATAATAATTAATCAATAATCGATCATATTATCAATGAAAACAATTAAAATTTATGAATAGAGTTTTTGTTACTAGAAAGAAATCATAAGAAAAATATATTGGAAGTTTATAAGCAGAGTTCTCACTGAATGATTTAACATAAGGAAAATTCATCTTAATCGACACTGAATTCCTCAATGGTCTTTGATAAATAATTTCCCGAAACTATCACTTACATACGAACCAATGAAATTAAAGATAGCAAGTTTAGAATTCCGGATAGTAATTTATTTATTCGCATGGTTAATTAGCATTTTGACATTAGAGCTGATGTCAGTTCGTGATAAAAAGAAAACTCTAACGTCAATTTCTAACCTTAAATTCTAACTTTGAATCCTGATTTTAATTCTTCACATTAATTCAGATACGTCTTTTCACAATATTAAGTGACTTTTCCCAAGGTCACTTGTAGGTTGTACGTAAATTATTGTCGCACTAATAATAAATTTTTGTCACTAACCTAATGATAATAAATATTCACTAATCCAACGTTGCGAACTTTTAGATCAAGAAAAAATCAATAAATTGGAACTAGAATTCCATAAAAATATCAATAAAAACTGTAATTAATTAAGTTGATGTGTATATTTCTACCACCGTTATATACTACTTATGTAGATATAAGTAACCCACACCACAATAGTTGTTACTTAACAACTGATTGATTGACTTTCAGATCATTCAGATGAAATATAATTGTAAAATTAAAAGTGACGTTCAACTATAAACTATTTATACTTACCTGGAGATTTTGCAACTCTTCAACATTTGATGTTAATTCGTTTTGTTCCATAGGCAATGAACATTGTACAGAATTGTCAATTACATTTGAAGAATATTTACTCGTTAATTTTTGAATAGATTCCTCCAATAGGCTAACACAATATACTGGATCGTTGAATTTGTTGGGTTCATTGATTTTGCTATTTTCATGTTCCAACCACTGACAGATTACAGAAACACGCGCGAACAAATCTCTTAACAATACAATCTCATCTGTTAGTTGACTTAGATTAGTCTACAATGAAATTTAAAATGAAACAGTGCAAGTTTAACAACGATGAGACGGTGTTACCAGGACATTTACGCACTCTACAAATTGTATTATAATCGAATATTTTTATAATGGAAATTATTTAGTAAGAGTTGTTCTATGTACTCGGAGCTATAAATTTCACAATACGTACAATCGATAGAAAGCAAAATGTCCCGGCTGACGAAAGTCAGTGTAGTGGGTTTCAAACAATACAATACATTCCAGAAAACTAGTCAATTATACCATTAAGCAACCACTGTTATACTATTATAGTTCTATACAAATTAGCATATACTTTACAGGTTTATTTATTCATAAGGAAAGAGTTGACCTTTTAATTATCAAGCAAACTAAGGTTACAGATAGAGTAAGAAAACCTAAGGGAGAACCTCATAAAGTCCACGAAGATCATTGGTCTACGAGAATAACATTAATGTGAATTCAATATTAAAATTTGATATAACGACAGAACAGAAATATTTTGAGTTTTGTCACGATATATTATATACAACTATAATGTGATCGGGACCGAGAACTTCACGACAAGTAAAGTGAGATATTCGATCAATAACGCTACACACAGATTGAATCACGTTACATCAAAAACACAATTCATGGGCACAACATAAAAAACCACAGAATACAGACTAAGTAATACCTTATTCAATAGAGTTACAAACAAACACTGAATTCAGAGTACAAATAAATAGGAAGGAGAAAATCACAAATTAAAAAGTAAGACAGGTCTATCAGTTCATGCTCAGTGAGTGACTAACTATATCTTACTTGCCCTAACCATCCATCAAAATGAGACATGTATGAAACAGTGTATATCATGTTTCAAACTAAATGACACACGCCTGTCCCCATTTGAAAAATACCAAGACACAAATCACAAAAAATTTCGTCCAATTCGAAAAGAGAATGATTAGTTTGTAAACACATAAAACAATATCACTTACATTCTTATATTTCATTATGTTGTCTATTTGTTGTTCTTGTGATGTTGATAGTGGCGATGATGATTGAGTTACAGTACAATCATGCACTGTCGAATGTGGATCATCTACAATATGACTATCGTCAGTTTGTGTTGCATTATCAATTGACAATATAGTACAACTAATAATATTTTCTGATTGATTTTGATTTTCCATTTGTAAAATATTTAAATGTTCCATTTGTTTAGATAATGCATAATTCATTTCATTAGCAGACTTAATTTCTGATTGATAAATATCACACTTAAAAAACAATAAGAACAGACACAAAACAAAACAAAGATAATTATCAGGAGAGAAAAAGTTGCAAAAAATAATTCCAATAGTTCACAGATTGTTAAGTCAATTAACTGTACAAGGAGGGCTAAACGAAGTATTTATTTATTTTACTTAAACACATAAACATTGGTAGAAGGAGGAATCAAATAAATATTCGCCACGCAAATCATTCGAGTTGCGTGAGGGCTGGAATACTGTACGAGTGCCCAAAACTAATTAGGTGGTTTTCTTAGAATGCCGATCTCCGGGCTTTTGACTTAGAGGTTTAATCCATAAGGCAGTGGAGCAATATAAGGAGACGGAGACCCATGGGTAGCCAGTGATCAACAATAGGTTCATACGCCATTTGTCTCTTCAGGATCCTTGAGCCTATGTGCACCATTGGTTTGGAATCACGGTTTTCAAACTGTCCTAGGTGAATCATCCGTATCCACCAACCCGGTTAAGGCGATGGACATTCGCTTTTCGTCCTTTCAATTTCGTAAATAGTAATGCTGCGAGAAGGTAGTGAGTAGTACTTCCTTGGCAGTGGCCATATACTCGTGGCCATGTGAGAGTATTTCGAAAGGGAAAGCTAAATCTCTCGACCCTCAGACGAACTAGGGCATTTGGGGGCGGACTAAACGAAGAAGAAAACCTAAAATAGGCTTAAATATTTCTGCAGATATACTTAGGTCCTAGAACCTCAGTTAGTCATCAACATACAACCAGCCTATGGCACAGATATTCCAAGAGTACATTAGTACAACTAGGTGGACAACGCCAGATTTTCATATACTATTAAATAGAATGATGGTCGTCAAACTCCCAAGAATCTCAGACATATGACTTACCTTTATGTTTACTATCTACCGGGATGTGAAAATGTTAAATCTTTCTTTAAGCTAAGTTGATTAATTCAGTTACTTCATTAGATAAAGATTTACTCAAGACCTTAAAACAGTGGAGTTTTGTAAACAGTACCAACCAGCAGCTGATTAAAATGACATATCTGTAATACTATGAGCTAATTATCTTTACAAAATCATAAAGATAAACTGAATTTTCAAGTGATTAAAAACTTAGGATGGGTTGCGGAAAACCCAAGCAGTGACTCATATAATTACAAGTAGGGGAAGTACACACTTCTTCATTGACCAGAAGATATCTTCGCCAAAGAAGAACTTACAAATTTCCGAGTGAGATTAATAATCTTCACATTCGAAGTCAATATTTAATAGCAGGTTATTTTACACCATAAAATATGTTTGAAAGACATACCATTTGTGTGTATGTAGTTTGCAAATCAGACAATTGTTGTTTTAAATTCTTATTTTGCTCCACAGCTCGACTTAAAGCACTTCGTTCTGATGTAGCTGTGGCCAAAACTATATCACGATCAGATAATGAATTTTGTAGTTGTTCAACAGTTTCCTCAAATTTAGATAATCGAACAGTTAACCGATTTATCTATCATCAAAAAGATTTTTAATAAAAGAACATGAAAAAGCAAACATATAAGTACAGACAGAACACTAAAATCAAAGCATGAGATTAAGGCTACATCACCAAAGAGATCCCCTAGATAAAAGTTACGTTAGAAATAAAGATTCAGAATAGATGCGATCAAAATTAATGCATCATATCTGAACACTATATTTCACATGGCTAGGAAAAAGACAGGTAAAGGTCCTGGGGTTCAATGTATGGCGAAGTCGTGAGCGCACATAATCGAGGAGTCTTGAGCTAGAATGAAACAATTATACAATTTTTCTTGACTTTTAGTAGTAGCCCAAGTGAGATCCATTAGTGACGAGTATTTGAAGGTGATTAAACGCGTTATCAAAGTAACCTTGAAAAAATTCAACCACTTGCTAAGGACAAAAAGATGAAAATCGGTGTGAGGAACTAACACTAAGATTTAGAGTTAAAAGTTAGGGTTTTTTCAAGAAGTAGCATCAGCTATAGTGTCAAAATACTAAACAGACATAAAAGTGAGTGAATTTCACGCCATAATCCAAGACTTGATTTACTAGGTCGGGCTGGTTTGCCAATAGATTAAAGTCCCGCCATCATCATTTACTACGTAGTATAAAATAAAACTGTTACTTTTAAATTATTTTCAGATAACCTGTTTAATATAAACACTAAAATGTCCTAATTTAATAAGGTATTATTCGTAGTCTATATTAAAAGTTCAGAGATTTTATTTGCGCCTACAAAAACAAGCATATTCAAATATATAGCCATTTGATTCCCCACCATCACAATTTTGTCAAATACTTAATTAGTTTTGTGTAGTGCGCCAATTATGTGGGCGCCCAAGTGTTCTTGTGAGGTCGAGGGTGGTTATTTGTTTACTTATCTGAACACATAAATATTAGTAAAAACGGGCACCGAATACATATGCGCCACACAAGTCACTTGAGTTGTGTGTGAGTTGTGATACTGCCAGGATGCCCAGACCGAAACAGGCAGTTCTCTTAGGCCACACCCGGAGCCATAGACCTAAAGAGGTCTAATCCATAAGGCAGTGGGGCAATATCAGGAGACAAAGTCCCATGGTAGCCAGTGAGCAATAATCGCTTTATACGCCATTTCTTCCCTCATAATCCTAGAGCTATGTGCATCATTGGATTGGAACCAGGGTTTTCCAAATACCCTAGGTGAATCAACCATATCCACCAACCTGGTTAAAGCAACGGACATTTGCTTTCCATCCTCTCAAATTCGTAAACACCTCAGTGACGAGAAGGTAGAGAGTAGGACTTCTTTGGCAGAGGTTGTATGCACGTAGCTATGTGAGAGCATGGTGCCCTGGTGCTGCCAAGGGTGGGAAGATTTAGCTTTCCCTTTCGAAATACTCTCACATGGCCACGAGTATATGGCCACTGCCAAGGAAGTACTACTCACTACCTTCTCGCAGCATTACTATTTACGAAATTGAAAGGACGAAAAGCGAATGTCCATCGCCTTAACCGGGTTGGTGGATACGGATGATTCACCTAGGACAGTTTGAAAACCGTGATTCCAAACCAATGGTGCACATAGGCTCAAGGATCGTGTTATAACCCAAAGAAGATTAAGTTACAGGTAACTTCCAAGGACTGTTAATAGACTAATATTCTATAAATATTCTTATCGTATAATTATTCAATAATTACATTATATGTATTTATATTCCCCTTATTATAAGCTTTATTTTGACCTATAATTTATTATTATACGATTTACGGTTCTTAATCTATGTTCAGTCGATTAATTACTGTCTCCCGCGTTCACAACCACTTTTTGGCTTATTTGTGTACACATGTTATTTCCTATTTTATGGTACGTTGTGGTCTGGCTGATTGGTATATAAACAGAGTATGTTTGAAATACATATATTCATATTGTGGAAGCTGGTATTGCGTTTTATTTGGACTCATGCAGACGGGCTAGAAGGACCTCGGACCAACAAGGCACTAGACTGCCCACACCGGTTGAACGTCATTGGTTGATATAGAGTGAAGATTTGTATAAGTCGTATTCTGATTGGTGGATAATTCTCGTGGTAGAAAGGCCAGACATCAGGTCATAACAGATCCTAAAGAGACAAATGGCGTATGAACCTATTGTTGATCACCGACTACCCATGAGACTCCATCTCCTTATATTGCTCCACTGCCTTATGGATTAAACCTCTAAGTCAAAAGCCCGGAGATCGGCATTCTAAGAAAACCACCTAATTAGTTTTGGGCACTCGTACAGTATTCCAGCCCTCACGCAACTCGAATGATTTGCGTGGCGAATATTTATTTGATTCCTCCTCGACAATATCTTTTCTTACAAGTGTATAGACTGGGTCTATATGAAGATATCCATTGATTCTTGGTTGACTTGAATACCGTGCTTCTAACAATCCTCTCTAGGTCTTGGAACTTCTTTAACCGGATTTATATCCATGGTTATCTTCACGCATTGATACCAGTGATATGATATTATGTCGTCTTACTACTAATTTATGTTCATTTATGAGTAGATGAAAGAGTAGTTGAATTCGCCTAATGTAATATTTCTCTTAGTTGGTCCAAAGCCATTTGGAAATGTCACACTCGTCTTCCTGCGCCGTTATGTCTTTTGGTCTGGATAAAATGGAATGAGGTGGTTGTGTAAGTATTTACACTGATGAATTATGTATTAAATCATCAACTTCGCCATCCACAACTTCTTAGTCATAGCTGGTTAGCCATGTGCACAGAGAGTGTGTGTGTCTGAATTTTAGATCGTCGATCGTAACACATCCATAATGAACTAACACTACATGCTTATAACTAATCTAAATCACAAATAAACGTATATGTGTAAAAAAAATTGTGGACATAAAATATCACCGAAATAAAAAAATCAATGTCAAACAAGAGAAATACAGCTAGGAAAACATACTTCAACATTTGCATTTTCTAACTCTTCTGTACGACTTTTTAACTGAGTTTCCAATACTGCTATTTGCTCCAACGATTGTTGGATAACAGGTGAAGAGTTGACATGTTGTTCTTCAACAGATGATGTTAACGGTTGAGTTTGAACAGTCAATAGAGTAGGAATTATTTGAATTAAATTCAAACAACATGAAAATTTAATAAAATGAAGGCGTTTATTGATTAGACTAATGATTGATAATGTTACATCCAGTAAACAAGATATTATATGAAGGAAATTTAAAAAATTACATCCCCTGAAAATGTATTTTCTGTTTTGTGCTAGCGATTAATTATGCCTTATGGCTGAAATTGTCAGAAACCAGATTAAAAAGCGAGTGTCTAACAGATTAAGGTTTTGTGAACTCTGGGTATCAACTTCACACGTAGGTAATATATTGAAACGCTCATCCTTGAGGTTCTCGACAATACCAAATAGGAAAGGATACTCCAAATCAAAGACAAACTTTTATTGTTGACTGTATAACACTGAATGTAGCAACTAGATAATTTTAATTAATAAACTAACTAAATGTTCAAGCTAATCAGAGTATATAATTGACCGTTGAGTGAAACAGAACATATTTCTACTGCCTTACTTTAATTTCAGACAACTGTGATATAGACGAGATGTCCCTTACAGTTAATAAAAAGTATAGAGACTGTAAAATCATTTATTCACAAGAAAACAGAAGTCGTATATACTTTAAGCATTAAATAATGAATCTATCTAAAAGAGCAATATCTCATATGCTGAAAATTCTGAGTAAGATATATGTTAACAAGTCATAGATTGGATTAATGCATGTGTCCATCCAGGATGATATTGAGGCGTGGGGTTAATTGACAGTGAATCAGCACTAGGTAGACAAAGTAGACTCTAGAATATTTTTTGATATAAATTCACTAACAATTTCCCCACTGTGACTGTTAATCCCATTCAAACTTGTTTACTTGGAAAATAATCTCACTCCAGTTCAACCGTGCACTGATTTGGAGACTAGTCAATTGAAGTAGTGTCCGAAAAATACTAAGCAATTAGAGTAGCTAGGTCGTATATAGAAAGATCTCAACAATATATTAACCAATTGACGATACTATAATTCTACATCAAATGAAGTGATTCAGATGTATCATCAACAGTTGTATCTATTTATATATGCTATATTGTAATTAATATAACGATATGGTTACACAAAAGAATTAATAAGGATCAGAGCAATGATTCAATAAAATCATTTACTATTGGTTTGATTCAACTTAAGAGTTATTCTAAGCTTTTCGACCAAGGTCTATGAGACAATCATAAATAAGAGACGTGATTTATCATCGATATTAAAAGCATAAATGTATGCGTTACATTTGACCTTATCATGATAATACCATGCAGATTGAACGGAATAACTTGAGTTAACAACAACTAAGAATTCCTCTTCAAATGTTAATTTATAACATACTATAAACTCCACTAAAATGAGACAATGTTAATTGATTTAAGACTCAGCCAGTTATAGGCAACGTAGAACCCGGCAAATATGTGCATCCGTTCAAGTTATCACAACATATTACCACAGACAGATGAAACTATTAAAATAGGGACCAGTGGCAGTAAAAATTATTAGACATAGACAAAAAGATCCAAGAAAAATGAATCCGTTGCATAAGAAAGTAAAATATTATTTTAGAACTAAAGAACTAAGGAAAGGATAAACAGAAAATGAATCGAAACTAATGCAACCGATTCTGAACTAAATTCATCTAACATTTCCAACAACTGTCGACTACAGTAATCGCGCAGACCTTAACCTGATGGTTTAACCTACCTATGCGCCTCAGTCCAACAATTAATGATTTCATGGATTTATGCAACATGTTAGAATAATCACCTTTAAGTTTCCTCTAATCTACCCCCATATTAGCTAATATAGTGTTTAGGTAGATGAGTTCGATTCCTGCATGCGAGGTCGCGAATGTGCACTGCTGAGGAGTTTTACACTAAGACGAAACAGCTATTCAGTGGTTCATGCTTATAATTAAATCTAATCTTCCCATACTGATAATAGTCATTTTATTCATCATCACAATTCATGTTAATTTTCCTCTTACGCTAACTTTTATTAATTTTAGTGGTTGCAAATATTCAGTGACTAACTTTGACCGATACGTATCTGTGACAGATCTCATGTCCACTTGATCTGTTTGATAATTTGAAATAATCTCGAGTGATGTCAGAGTTATGACGCCAGTTATTACTTTCTGCTACCTGCACCGTGAAAGGATACTATGTTCCGGGGCGCTAAGAAGGAGAATTGTAACAAGTAGTCTCATTGACCTAAGGCGTGACTGTAGTTACCAGGGTACAACTGGTTGCCGCTAGAGACAACCAGGTTTTTGTAAGTAGTTTTGTAGGAACTAGCTCTATACTCTCAAGGCCTTACCGACGGCGACGGCAAAACATGGGGAAAGGTGGTGTGATAGTTTTGTGACGATGTTTTTACACCCTCTCCTCACATTGTAAAAAAGAATAATCACAGTAAATGCCAGCTGTCTAGTGAGAACACCTTAATGTAACCATATCTCTGTACAGTAGGCAATATGACCTAGACCTCACACCACCCAAAAACTATAGACGAATGTAAAAATAACAATGAAAAATGATTCACAATAATAACGAAACATTAAATGCAACTAACTTAAATCATTGATTTCATTATCTTTTTCACGTAATTGTCGACTAACTGATTCTAATGACAATTCCATTTCTTGTTTTAATTTATTTGTCTCAGATAATTGAGAACGTAACTCATCTGCCTGTTGTTCAACCTGAACACATGGAGAAAAACAAACAAATAAACAAACAGGTTGCCTAATCTAATCAATTCACTTCATAGCTTACATCACTAAAGAGTAACAAATTTACCCAGACGTGTAATAGCATGAACAAACTCGATCTTTCCCAACTTGAATCATATCAAGATAGTAGTAGTATATACCCAGAGTAGTATTTATGTGTCAAAACTACCATTAAAATTCTGACTGTAAACATTCAATCATCTAATGTTTTATTTCGTTATTACTTTTGATACGGCGACATTCTCAAAGTGACCAGTGCGTAGTGCAACAATTACGATTACTTTTAGAACATTACTAATCACGCATAACTGTTTCTTCCAATAATTATACCCGATAAGATTTACCAATATGAATCCTGTAATATTTCGCTACAGAATAACTTTCTATGTTTCATTCAATAAAACCCTTCAACTGCCAAGATTAACTTTGAGTTGAGACTCAGACAATTTTATTGGTCCAGAACGTACCTAGAATTCATATATTCAGTCCTTACAGCTCAAACACTCACTAGTTTACAAACCTGAATTATCAGACTGTAGTTTACCCCACATACGAAATAACATTGAATACAATGACGCTTTATGCCTTATACATCATCAAACCAATAAATCGCAAACACAATGAACCAACGAACTTAGCCCCGACTATTACTATATATTATAAAAAAGTAGCATGCAACAAAATTTTAGAAAATTAATTGCAAATGTAATCCATATGTTAACAAATATTATGTCGTGTTAGCGATTCTTTTTTATAACAAAATAAGCAAAGCTCAAAACTGAGAAATATCATAAATGGCTGGAGTGAGATCTTAATTAAGTAGCACAAAATATGAGAAAAACCGCAAGAGAAAAATGAAATTAAACAAACCTGTGCAACGTAATTATGATACTGAGAATCTAACCGTTTCTTTTCTGTATCAATCGAAGATAAAGACAATTCAAGCAACTTCAATCGATTCAGTAGATCAGCACGTTCTGATAACCACTCTTCTTTTTCTTTGCAATATTTCTTATCTTCCGAACACATTAAACTATCTGTAGTACTCCTTAATTGATTAGCATAAATCTTAATAGACAAAAGACAGAAAGCAAATATCAAAACGTTATTTGGTAACAATAAGACAAAATGTCTCTGTGTCGAAGTAAATTGAAACTATAGTCCAGTGATCTAAACCATTAAACCTTAACAATTAAATCAATCTACCTGATTTGAAAAATTTAGTTGAGAAGATAGATCCAAAAACATCGTTAGTCAGTATACTATAGATGAGGCGATGATGTAGTGATGACAGGTCTATCCGTTTCCAATCAAAAGCTCGAATAAGACTCCATCTAATTCAGTTTCTAACAGCCAGACAGTGTCACCAGCCCTCACACAAAGAGTGGTTCAAAGACGAGTGTAAAAAAGTAAATGTGTATTCTAAACATATTTTATGACAAATGAATTTGAAATTAACCTATTTTATTACCGATAACAAATTATGGGGTCTTTCATTACGAAATTGGAAAAATCACTAACAGTTATTGAACCAAAACGAATCGTTAGTCAGTAGCAGAGTACATACAGCTTGACATCAATATGTATCAATCCAAGCCATCACGCTTAAGAGTAGCACAGCAAGAGAGGAGATTGATTTATAGGATGAAAGAGAGAGAAAGGAAAATAATATCAACTGAGACATAAAGCTGAAAATGGAAAATATAGCTTAAAACGCGCAAATGAGTTAACACCTAACTCAAGATTCAGAAGAACGAATCCAAGTGCGCTAGTTGGATCATTTTCGGAATATAACACTCAACGTTTCGAACTATAACTTACAGCAACCTCGTGGGTTTCAAATCCAACTCCCTTAGGTGAATCATCCGTATCCACCAACCCGGTTAAAGCGACGGACATTCGCATTTCGTCCTCTCACATTTGTCAAGCAACATCAACACTAACACTTTTGCATTAGCATTTTGTATATGTGTCATGTTACAAAGTGGAAAGTTACGTTTACTGTTCAGTTGTTTTGACTTTTTATATCGATTCATTTTTAAGGTTTGTAATAATAATCCGATATTGACAACTATACTATACTGTACCATTGTGTATATCATCACTAACCAATTATCATTCTACTAATCATTTCATTAATTTTAAATCACACGGATTAATCATGTGGTAGATAGTTTGGGCTTGAACTGACTCAACAAAACTGAGAGAGAATCATTTGAATGACGCAGAATATGTTTGACTCAATTACTAACCAACTGACAAGAAAAGTAGAAAGATAAGGACTGTGATACAAAAATATTTCTGGTCACTTTTATACAGTTCATAAATGTTCATGTCCTTCTATTTACCACTGGTTAACAATGTAATCATATTGTAGAACGAAACAATTGGCAGAAGAAACGAATGTTTATTGAGAGAAATTACAAAGTGTTTATACAGTGTGTTCTGCAATCCTAACTTTCTTCTCGTCTAGTCTTCAGGTGTTCTGTCTACGCCGTGCTTTTGATATACTGAAACTTCTCCCCGCCTGATCACTGTGACAGCTTCGAGGCCAGGTTCCGCTACATACTGCTTACAGTCATTCTTGTGAGTAGCGTCCACAATAATATCAACTAAACTGGAGAGAAGCCAGTTCAAGTTTATCTCGTCAACACTGAACTAAAACATGTTTATCACACAAAACCCAAAACACTACTTTCGAAAGTTAACGCAGTCAACTAAAATAATCATTTATAAATAACATACCTGTGATAATTCAAGTTGCTGTTTTAATTCATTTAAACTTATTCCAGTTTGAGCTAGTTCACATGATTTAGCTGTTAATCGAGACCTCGTTTCAGATAATTCATCTTCGACATCTCGGCGTGCTATTTTTTCACGCTTTATTTCCCCTTGAAGGCATTTAATCTAGGTGGGAATAAATAGAGAAGAGGAAAGGATGGGAAGAATTATTGTAAACAAAATGTTTCCTGAAGTTCTCTATTAAATAACCGAAAATTCCTAATAAACTGTAACTCATTTGATATATTTGGGACGTGTATTATGCCTAATCATCACCTATGATGATGATGCGCGATAATGGCTGGTGGTACGCGCAAGATGGAATAAGGCTAGTAGTGTCCAAACCAAGACGGCATATCAGTCCCTGAAGTTGAGATGTTTGCTTAAGCCATACTGGTAAATACAAACTACTTGGTTGCAGTCCATGCGATTACTGTAGCCAGTGGCTGGAGATGTTGCATGATATGGGATTAGGATCAGTCACAATGACACAGATGCACACACCACTTGTCTTTCTGTAGATTCAGAGTCCCAACATTCCTTCATACCTAACTATATTCTGTTTTTACGAACTATATCTTCAATCCTTGGTTTTATTATCATGAATTTTACTACACTTATTCAGTTTCTTTTGCTGTTCGTTTTGTTATGCTAATATGGTATGGCAACTTGGGTTAACGTACACTTGTCCCAGGCTCTACGTTAATTATGACTGATTTTACCGATTGCGGGTTTTGTACTTGACCCAAACCTTTGTTAAGTAAGAGATAATGATACTATACCCCAGTTGCGTAAACCAAAGTAGTTGGAGAGGGATTTGTAACCGTCGACCTTCTGGGCGAAACCTATATCCATCAAACATTAAACAACCCTTCCACCTGGTAAACAGCAAAACCAATCACAAATCCAGTACTTCAATCAGCTTTGAGTAGGTTAACAATGAATAAGCTAAACCGGTAGTATGTAAATGCTACTCTTGTTTCTAATATGTTTTATTTTTAAATGTTACATTTTTTAAAACTCTTTATAATGAGAGTGACCAGTAGATATGTAAGTAACAGTGGAATCAAGGATGCGAGTTATATCTAATGTAAAACAAAATAAGGTAGATATAATTGTATCTGAGTCCTGATTTTCATACAGATACCTATAACTTCAAATACAATAGAATCAGCAACAGGACTACTCAGCAATGAAGGCCACCAACATATTCTCAATAGATATATTGTCATTTGCAAATGAGTTAAAATATCCCACTGTTAATGCAAATTGTCATCAGTTTGTGAATCCAGGTAATGACGAATTATCCGTGGTTCAAGGAACCATATGGTAACCAGATACAGACTTGTTCAGTCTTGTAAATTAATAAAAAAAAGTAAAATTCCAGAAAACTAATAAAATAACGAGTATATCTCTTCAAAATAAATGGTAAAACTACAGCACATTAGCGAACGACCTTGAGATGATAGCTCGTTTTAAACAACCACGGAACAGCAAACATAACCGAAGGAATAATCGTAATAATAATGCAAATAATATATTGTCATTATGTGACTAGTTAATTTTTTTAGGTTCAGAGGTAAGGTCATGGTTAAAAGTTAGGAACTATGGTAAGTTAATATAAAACACTAATCTCAATCTTAACACATATGCTCGATATATATCACTGCAGATTGAAACATGGGCTAGAACCTGGAAGTCGCTTTCTCGATTCTAATTAGTTCGATAGTTCACTTTAAATTCACCGAATAAATGAAAGTATTAAACCAAAAACCGTCGAGTTTATTATTACAATATAAACTGTGTTATAATACTTAGAGAAAAAGAGGATGAACAATTCTGAAATTTTATTTATAGATTACCTCTGGTTGTATAAACACGAAACGAGAAGGTAGTGAGTAGTTAATGTACCCATTAAAAAAAAAATACAGAATAATTTAATCGTTAAACACGTGCATGGATATAAACTATACTTTGAGTGTAACGAAGACCGATACTACTCTATTATCCGAATTAAAGTGGGGTAGAGCTCAAACCTGGAACTCAGTGGAAGAAAATCATACGTATCATCCACTAGGCTACTCCACTTGTTAAACAAAGAATCAATGAGCGGCTGTTTTGTCCCAGTGAGGAACCTATCAAGAATATACATCTGCGACTTCACATGCAATCAAATTCAAGACTTGCAGTCCTCGAAGTGAGCGCTTTACCTCTAGACCACTGATCAACAGGTACACTAATTCGAAGGAGGGAAGAGAAATAGTAAAAAAGAAACACTGACCTGATTCTGTAGATCATTGTTACCAGTTTGCAAGTTGTTCACATTTGCTTTACTCTCTGATAAATTACGTTCCAAATCTAAAATCTGTTGACGTGATGCTTTTAACCTAGAGCTGACTTCTTCGATTTCCTAAAATAAAAAAGTACTGGTAACAATTTTCGTAGTAAATAATTTTTTTGTTTTATTCGTTAACAAAAATCCTGATTTGAAATCACTATGCCTACTAACTTGGTAGGTTGTAATCACCGCATGTTGATTTCAGTAATGTCGGGAGGGAAAACGCTGTCACAAATGGCAATGGATTATTATTATTATCTGCTTTATTCGATATTATATTTTTGGTACAATATAGAATTCTCAGCGCAAAGTATTTCAACAAGTTTCCATTTCTTTCTTCTTGGTGGGTCCTGGCGATAAATATTGAGTGATCGCCAGTTAGATGTTAGCACTTCAGTGAATGAACATCTGAATAATGTGCATTCTTTTCGTTGTATATTGCCGGCAACCACATTGTCTCTTATTGAGTTTTTTGTAACTTGACAACGAAAGGTTGTACACTTTTCAGAAACGCAGCAGAATAGGTTATGCGATTAATAAACACAGTGATATATTAAAACAAACAAAAAATAAATAACTTGTTGAAATACCTAGATGGTAGGAACAGGTAGCCCAGATGCTCAAGCAGGCCGCCCTAAACTTAAAATCGGAGTTGAAATTTTACCAAGAGATCTCGAACTAGTAGTTTTAATGGTTAAGGATTCATCCCGAGAAATGAAGATCTTTATGTTGATTCTTGATGTGGTTGTCGGTGCGCACTTCCGAAGAGTTGGATCCTAGGATAAAAGTTGTCAGTGCTACCTGGTTCTAAATGGTCATCCCGACTGAAATGTATCTATGTGACGAATATAGTCTATAAATTAGATCGATCTCCACAAAACTCCAAGTAAACTTACTACTTACTTAATAGATTAGTAAACATGTACACGTTCAATCTTATTCTTATTAGAAAATTTTTTAATTAACTTACTCGTAATCTTTGTACAGCTAAATTATCCAAATGTGTCACTTGTGACTGAAGTTCTGTTTTTTCAGCAACTAAGATTCCAATAGTTTTAGCGTGTGCTTTAATCTACAAACAGATAAATGAAATGTCAATTGTTTGAAAAGAAGAAGTTAAGATCAAACAGAGAATGCTCTATTTTATTACACGACAACACAATTTTAAACAGATGAATTATCCTAATTTCATATACGTGACCTTGACATGTGTGTATGATAGTTATATGAGTCTAGATACTTACTTGTATCTATAATGCCAATAAATGTTGAATATGGCTTTAATTAGATTGAATAGACATATTTGCCTTATCCGCTTTCTTTTGCTTATTATCTGTTTGTATTAACGGATGTGTTAAATACATGTTTATAAAATAATCCTCGTATTTGACTGGTTTTATTCCATTATTCATCAGTGAAAACTAAGTCGAGATATATGTACAAAGTTAAATGGGTATATATCTAGACTCCCAGTTACTGGGAACCCACTAAACCACCTGGGGTCAAACTTAAGATCTTCCTATCTCTCAATAAGTGCTTGACTTTTACACGACTAAGTTGGAATCCAACATTTCCAAATTCTACGATATAGAGCAACACTGTTGAATTATTTTTGTGGGTAGTTACCTCATTCTCAAGGTAGCTAATTCCTGATGTTTTTGTATAAATTCCACCGGTGGAATAATGTTCATCGCTAAGTATCGGTGAATAATCTCAACATAATTTTCTTATGGAAATATGAATTTCCCATTTTAGCTCCGAAAGTGTTCATTTTTACCAGAACAAGCTAAGCTATCCCACTGAGCTCCAGCCCTACTAACTAGAGAGAGAAGACCAGATTCAGCTGAGGGGGAAGTATATTTCATAAGCAGTTAGAAGCACCAACATTAAGCACACAATTTATGCGTACAAGACACAGTACAAAAATGTCCTTCGAAAACGTCATAAAATAGCGTACTGATATTACAAAACTGGAACGTTTACCAAGTGATTTCTGGGAATCTAGCATCTTCAACACAAAACACCAACAACACCTATGAAACAAATACCTGCTTCCTAATGGTCACTAATAGTAACCTTAATAATAAGTCTAACTCTGTGACTAAGTAAAGTTGGAACTTGTTGCCTAGTGGTTAGAAGCCAGATGCTTTAAATGCTAAAAGGCTACTGCATAGGACACCGATCCCGGTACATATCAACCACTATTGAGTCAACTAGGCAAACATCTTCTTTGCAACTTATCTCAATTTACAGATCGTAGTAACCGACTCAAAAAACCTCTCACTACTCACTAAATCGATTCAGTAAGCTAACTATATAAAAGACATCGATTTAATTGATCTTAAGCAAGGTCAAATTTCTCAATTCTATTGATTGTTAACAAACACAATTATATCGTGTGTATGCGTATGTGTTTTTACTTTGTATTTACACTTTCGTGTACTTTATTTAAGACCTACAATATCAGTGAACTAGAATGTTGAAATTGAAACAAACTACAATCAATATAAAAAGAAAAAAAAATTTGTTACTAAAAATAACCAGGACAGCTATCGCACTTAATTGTTTTTTAAAAAAATAATTAGTCTGTGACATACAATGAAGATGGATGAAATGACAGAAAACCTTATATTGTTCTTTTTATTTTCGTTTGTTACACAAAAAGGCTGACAACCGGACTAGGTGTATATTTACACTTTTATGATAAATATAAGCTAGGCAAAGTATCGATTACGATACGCGAAATGTTAATGTATTATAAATTAGTGAAACCCAGATGGTAATTAAGGCACACTGGTTTCAACTATTAGATTTAGGGTTCGAACCCCACTTCACTTCAATTTGAGGGACCGAGTAATAACAGTAGCCTTATTACTTGGTAAATGAATTGATATAATTAATGGTATAACCAAGGGAGCTAGGATTTGTACTTGGAATTGTTACAATCCTGCCACTGGAATACTAAGACACAAGATAAATACGATCGGTAGGAACAATAGAACTGAACACTAGCTATTGAATAATAGAATCAGTAGATAAATAACGATACTTAATCACGTGAACTCAAATACTCAAAGAATGGTCAGCTATTGAGAACTAGATTACAACAGGCCAGAACAATAATTTACTGACACAAATTACAAGCAATCAATGCAGAATAAAATCAGACTAGACAGAGAGAATAAAAAATAATCTCTTATGTTCGTTATAATCAGATAGTCATCTTCCTTGACTGGTCAGTTAATTACTATCTTTAACATGTTCATTCATCAATACAAGAACAAGTTTGTGTGTTTGGCTTTTAGCTACATTCTTCTAGGTGCTGGGATTAAAGCCGAAGTGTCAAACAAATTTTCTTTTAAATACATATAGATCATTAAGTTACCGCATGAGCGAGAAACTCGCAACATTTATTTCCCTAAAATCATAGTTTTCACTTATTAGTTCCTTGTATTATAACTCAAATAAACAATATTTGAAACCAGGTGACAACTGAACCTCTCGAAAACGCCTAGTTGGTAAAATGAAATTTTTGTTAAACTGGTGCAAGGAGTGGTTTTCATAATGCAATCCCGTGATTCAATTCATATTTGTAACTATTGTATCTAATTGATAGGTACCTGCATCATAAACTTTAGTGCTGGATATTTCACTAATTTTTTAGACCTTATGAGTTTGATGAATAGGCAAAGTACAGTGTAATATTCAGAGATAATGTGTTCTTTTTGGTTAATAAAAGCAATATAAAACTATTCATACTATCAAGTAGTGAACTAACGATAATGTAAAATGTTAAATAATTTAGCTTTATGCTACCAAATCTGTTTACTGTCCGGATTACTGTTACTCGATTTATGAAACCTGACAATTTAACTCAGACATATCTGACTGTGAAAACTTAGTGGTATGGGTTTGAATCACCGGCGAATAGTCGTTTTTCTCATTATTACGGATACATTCTGCTGACAGATGTCAAGTAGTATAAAAACCTAGGTATATGAATTTCTGATGATCACCCTCAACTACCTACATTTAAACAAACTACAATGTCATGTAGAATCACTTGGACTAGTGGCTGCACTGCAACTATGTTAATGCCGGTTTAGCTATAGTTCAACATGATCTATGATTCCTGAAACATTACGTAACTTATAATCATGTGTATTTTTTGTGACACATTTATTGTGTATACACTAACATTTATTTAATCGGTTAATGAGTTAGGGATTATTCATAAGAATCGACAAAATTATGTTAGGATGCAAGTTTTAATAACAGACAATATGTCACCCTTCATATCTACTTGGAGGAAAATATTTACAACTTATCATTCATGAGGGTAGGGGTTCTAACCATACACTTCAGTTTGAGCAACGGGATAGTATTACTGAACTCTTATAAGAAGGGAGGTTTCGTGATTAGTTTTTAAGAAGGGGAGTGGCGGCCCAGTGGTTATGGTCTATGACTTTTAGTCACTAAGTCGCAAGTTAGAACCCCTATCCACCTACTCCAGTTTTACATACATCCACATAAACAGTTTCACTCCGTAACTCCACTTTCAATTATCCAGGAACCACAATGATCATGATCATCTCTTTAGCCCATGCAAATACTGACCGGGCCCAACATTGCTTAACTGCGGTGATCGGACGAGAACCGGTGCTTTCAACGCGGTATGGTCGCCCAATCACCTGCTTCGGTTTGGGCACCTGGGCAGTATCCCAGCCTTCACACAAATCAATCGATTTATGTGGCGCATATCTGTTTGGTGCCTTGTTGTATCAATGTTTATGTGTTCAAATAAATAAATAATAAATCTCTTTTACCTATCACATGTAGACCATTTTGTAAGTTTAAGTCTATGCGTTCAACTTTAAGTAACACTATTTTTGTGAGACATTGTACGATACTGACCCGTTGCTTAAATTGAAATAATAAATAAAATGGAGCTCGTACTTGTGACCTGTTGGCTAAAAGCTGACTACTATCTTAGCCATTAGGTAACTGGTAGACTGTCAAAAATAATCATTCTAATACAAACCCACATATCTTATAAATTCAAGAATGTTAGTGAAAAGAGTTACTGAACAGTAACACTAACTTGTTCTTTGGTTTTCTCTAAATCTCGTTGAGAAATATTTTGTAAATTTGTACGTTCATTGCTTAAATCAGTTAATCGACGTTCATACTGATCTTTCATTAAGTCCATTTTAACTGTTAGACGTTCATATGCTCGATTGCGTTTTTCTAACATTGAAGCTAATTCAACATTTCTTTCCTGAGTAAAATAAAAAAAGACTCAGTGTAATTTGTTCCTTTTCAATTATCGCCAACCATATTGTATCAAATAATCAAAAATTATCTACATATATAGATAAATATAGTTATCAGAGTTTTGCATTATAGTTGTGAAGTTCTATGAAAATGAGTTCAAAATTATGCAGACGAATAAATTAAGCAAACGGACAAACAAAAAGGAATCGAGTTCCTAGTCCAGTAGACTGTAATACACTAAATATGGCTTAGAAGATCTAAATAATACTGTGAATTGGTGCCTTACTTTTCAGCCTTTCATTTCTTCATAGAACGACGGTTTAGTGATTAAGGTATTTGAATTTCAATCAGTAAGAAGACTCGAACTACAACCCATCGGTTTTGATCACTAGCTCTCATAACTAAAGTGTATCTTCAAGCCGATTAAATAAATCTGTACTAGGCAAGAAATTTTAATATTAATATACTTAAACAAATTTAACTGGATAGTACCGGTTAGTACCAGCAAATAAATGTGGCCTACTAGCACATCTTCCCTAAAACGACAATGGAATTATGTAATGAATAATAAAAACATACTAAGTTATGAAAACGTTTTATATAAGTCACAATATTACGGAGAATAAACCTGTTAAACTAACTTTAATAAAGCTCAAAACTATAGCTTACTTTGATTTGCAACTTAATTTTAGAAACCAAGCAAAAGACAATGCTAATAGGATGATATGAAACACTGTCACAAATACAAGAAACTGAAACTAGGCATAATTCTTTTGGCCACCAGAACCTTTATTGCAGGTTAATTCGTTAATGTGTGTTAATTCCAGACTAAATAACACATGTCCGAGATTAATCAGGGATATTAGATAAAATTTAACTCATGGTATTTATCTGTGGAGTATATAGAATCACTTTTCCTCCTCTGATAACTCTCTACACAACTGATGGAATGACTCACTAAACAACTATTAAGAAATCCTCGCCATTATCTTTTCATTATCTGCTGTCAAGACTACATACAACTATGCAACCTAAACATGATAAATATCGTGAGATAAACAAACAAACGGATGCCTTACTCAAATTGTAGACAGAAAAAAACTGATTACTTTATTGAGGGTACTACAGAATTAGCGGTAACTTACTTCAAGTTCTCGCACTAAATGATTTTGACTTATAGACATTTGAGATGATTCTCCAGATAATAAAGAATTCGGTGAACAATGTGAATAATCTTTTGTCAATTGATCATGTGATTCACCAGTTTGATTAGAGTATTGTCGACATGATTCAGGATAATGAAATGATTCTAGTAATCCATGGTTTGAAGTAAATTCATTCATTATTGGACTGGTAGTGCCTGATGTATGCATTGAACTAGTTAAACGTTCTGATGTCTCTAATATGCCGTCTAACTGACGGGTTAACTGTAAAAGTTTCTCAGTAGCAGCTGTAGGTCTTTCATTTAAAAGAATGTACACAAAAAAATATTTAATGTCATAATTTATGCACATTTCAAAAGATGTGTAGAGATTTTTTTAAGATAATAGTAAATGTAACTAATTTTTACTAGATATGAATGAGTAAAAGTTAATTTCTCAAGGAAAAACAAGCATTATATACAAAGTTAGATGATGGCTAACACTAAAATCTAGGAAACACCTTCCATCCTATTTGCGACTCGTCAGCTGGATGCACTTGCATACAAGAGTTGTTGTTCACTCCGGGACTTTAACGCAATACCGTACATTCGGTCGACGAGTCCCAGATAGAACGACACCTATATCCTGGATTCCACTGCTAGCCACCATCCATCTCTCCGTAAAGAATTTCCCTTACTTATATGAAGAAAGTAAAAGAAAATTACAATAGGACCGCCATTGAGTTTTATTCTGAGACATGTCTGATGACATCTCAAGACACCATGTTGCATTATTTCTAGGGCCCAGTCAAGGAGTCAAAGACACTAAACATGGCCCAGATTGGTATAAGGCACTCTGACTTTCACTATAAATGAACTGATCTCATCAGTCACGCCACTATTAGCACTAACACAGCTACCCAAATACACAACCACTTCCAAATCCTCACTATTAAAAGTGACTGCAGGCACAGGCTCCTGACCGTCTTGTAAAAGTAACTTAAGGCACAAAGCACATGGTAAACCTACGAATAGTCATCGCCAACTTATAAAGTGTGAATTGGTTGTCTCGAGCATCACTGCAACGTAAAACGAGATCACCCACATACTCAGGGTCGAAAAGTTTTTCTACAGATAACAAATTCACATTACCATCACCTAATTCAGTCAAAGCTGTTTCTAGAATGTAGTCAATGGCAAAATTGAAGAGAAATGGAGAGATTAGGTAACCCCATCTGACCTCATTGCTGAACGGAACAATGGAGAGGTGGTTGTATGCCCTCACTCTGCCTGAAATGTTTGTTTTCAAGCCACTCAAGATGTCAATAAACTTCTCAGGTACATCCTTCTTCAACGATCCCAGAGAACAATATTGTCCAACAAATTGAAAACAGATCTGACATCAAAAACATAATTACTCCTGGCCGGAAATAAGTATGATAATGTTCTAGTAGTTGGAGAGTGAAGATATGATCGAAGTGAAAATCACCTTACTCCCCACGAATCGGTCTTTCACCGGTTTCGAACAATCTTAAGTATGACCGAAGTCAATCGTTTGAACGTAATCAGAAGTTGACTTATTCTCCGATAGTTGTTCCATGGGTGAAATAAACCCTTTTTAAAGATAGGGAGGACTATCGTCTCATTCCGGGATGTTGGAACATTTTAACTGCCAAAAGTTTGAAAAGTTAGTCACTTCTCTAACCCGAAGTCGACCACCATCTTTAAAAATCCGGGGTAAGTTATCTAAGGCCTAGTGATTTGTCGTGCTTCATATATGCGCTTTACATATGCCAAAGGAGACTGACCATGATATAGTGCTTAATATCAACAATGGGAAGCTTCAAACACTTGGGAATTAATAAAAATAAACATAATTCAAGAAAACTTCTTGTATCGAACTCGGGTCTATACTGGGATTCTTAATGCTACGGGACACTGGATGAACTGTGTTTCTTCAGGCTCCTTACAACTCATTGAAACCCGTCGGTCTACTCCGGGTGACCGTGAGTTTGACCATAAACGAAGGATGTTACGTAAGGAAATTGGGCAAAGCTTGCGTAAGGACCGAGAAGCCTGGTGGTCGAAGCGTGCTAATGAGCTGGAAGCAGCAGCTGCATCTGGTAACTACCGGAAGCTCTTCCAACTCATCCGAGCCACTGGCAGCAAGAAGTCTGGTGTGAGTGAAACAATCTGCGAGGATGATGGGATGCCAATCACTAACATCCATCGACGTCTTGGACGATGGGCAGAATTTTTCGAAGGGCAGTTCAACTGGCCTGCTGCTCCGGCAACATCGGTCAGACTGTCCTGCCCTCCATGGCCGGTGACGACTGATCCACCAAATGAGGAGGAAGTCCGCAAGGAACTCCAACTCTTGAAGCGTTACAAATCACCTGGCCCAGATGACTTACCTCCGGCTCTTTTTAAAGATGGTGGTGACTTTTTGACTAAGGAATTGACGACGTTGTTTACAAAGGTTTGGGAACTAGAGAGTGTACCAACGTCATGGAATGAGTCGATAGTTGTCCCTATCTTTAAAAAGGGTTCACGTCGTTCCTGTAACAACTATCGGGGGATAAGCTACTTCCGATTGCGTCCAAGCTATTGGCTTCCGTCATACTTCGTAGGTTGTTCAAAACCCGAGAAAGATTGACTCGCGAGGAGCAGGCTGGGTTTCGTTCTGGTCGAGGATGTATTGATCATATCTTCACCCTCCGCCAAATGTTAGAACACCGCCATACTTATCAAAGGCCAACAATCGTAGTGTTTCTTGACATCAGGGCTGCCTTCGATTCGTTGGACAGGACTGTTCTCTGGGATTGTCTATTGAAGAAGGGTGTGCCTGAGAAGTTTATTAACATCCTAAAAGCCCTATATAAAACACCTCAGGCAGAGTGAGGGCATACAACCACCTCTCTCCATTGTTCCATTCGAGCAGTGGGGTTAGGCAGGGTTGCCCAATCTCACCATTCCTCTTCAACTTTGCCATCGATGACATTCTGGAAACAGCTCTGATGAATGTAAGTAATGGTGGTGTGGATCTGTTGCCTGGAGAAAGACTTCTCGACCTTGAGTATGCGGACGATATTGTCTTACTGTGCGATAATGCCCAAGGCATGCAATCCGCACTTAATCAGTTGGCAATCAGTGTCCGTAGGTATGGTATGTGCTTTGCACCTTCGAAGTGCAAAGTACTTCTACAAGACTGGCAGGATTCTAATCCTGTACTCACCCTGGATGGTGAGCAGATAGACGTAGTCGAGAAGTTCGTGTATCTGGGTAGCTGCATAAGTGCTGGTGGGGGTGTGAGTGATGAGATCAATGCACGAATAGTGAAAGCCAGAGCGGCTTATGCCAATCTGGGCCACCTTTGGCGCCTTCGTGATGTTAGTCTGGCTGTAAAAGGTCGGATCTACAACGCGTCGGTGAGAGCAGTTTTGCTCTATGCTTGTGAAACCTGGCCTCTCCGAGTTGAGGACGTTAGACGACTCTCTGTGTTCGATCATCGCTGTCTCCGAAGGATTGCTGACATTCAGTGGCAACACCATGTCAGTAATGCAGAGGTTCGGCATCGTGTGTTCGGGCACAGAGATGATAATCAATTGGTGTCACCATCTTGAAACACCGACTTCGGTGGCTTGGACATGTTCTCCGAATGTCGTCCCAGAGAATTCCACGTCGTGCATTATTTGCCGACTCTGGGACTGGTTGGAAGAAGCGGAGAGGTGGTCAGTGCATGACATGGTGTCGTGGCATGAAAGAAAGCTGCAAAGGACTGGCTTGTGTTGGTCCTTCACGACTCCCTGGTTGGGGTCCGAGAGATGGTGCTACACAGTGGCTAGAGACGTTATCAGATATGGCTCAGAATAGAAGCCAGTGGCGATCCTGCTGTAACCTTCTTTTACTTTCTTCATAAAAAGTGGTTGTGTCTCCTTACCTGAAAGATTTCTTCTGATTGTACCTTTCTGTTCCCTCATTATTACTATTATTATTACTACACTACCTTACACCAACCTCTTCGTTATTGTTCTTTTTTTTCTCGCGCTCTTCACCTTTTTCTTTTCTTTTCGAATTCTCATTGTTTTGTGTGACGCATATATATTTATGTGTTCAAATAAATAAATAAATAAATACATTGGATGCATGATCAAATATGCTTTAAACATTAGAGTTTGTATAAACTTAAATACAAGATATTAAGCTTCGTCAGAGTATGGACAAAGAAAATGGATCACATCAAACACTAACATACATTATCTGATACAATATTGCTTTTATTGATTCGGTTAAATCCTAATGAATAATTAACAATAAATTTTAAGCTGACCATTATTGATTCAGGTAGGTGTTTTATGTCTTATATTAAAACTTCACAATTTAAAACAATAACCCAGTACATTTAATCTGAAAGACTAATGATTTGTGTGGCGCATATATATTTGGTGCCTCCTTGTACAAATATTTGTGTTTAAATAAATAGTATCGAAGACCGTCGTAACGCCTGTATCAACAATTATAGTTTCTTAATCTTAATATTTTATTGGAAACCATACTGATAAATTGTAAGTTATCAAATAGCAACAACCATCAATTATTGAGAAATTAAGAATAATGTACAAATGTTTCGTCATGTTCTGTTTTTCGTTTGGACAGTAAACAACAGTGGTGAAGTCCAAGTTAAAGGATTCCCTTATTCTAAAATAACACAACAGTCAATTGAACCTAATAAACGAAAAACCCATATATAGTATGTGGCCAACAAGTAAAGAAACTGCGTTATTTTTTGTTGTTACGTATGGACATCATTAAACAAACAAACGGTCCCATTATATCCAAAAGGTCACGACATTCAGTCAGGATGACTGTGACGATTAATCTCTATTCAACAACTATTTAATGAAGTGCGATTTCTTCATATCTACAAGATCTATTAAATAAATAGGCGAATATATAGCTGGAAATTCAAAAATGATTCGCCGCGAGTTGCTAGTGCATAACTCCATTACCCTAGATAAAGATTTCTAGTCCTTACACATAGCATTCTATAATTCCTCTTCGTCTGTACAGTCCAAAACGGTTGGGTAGAGATTGCACTGATGCGATACGGAAGTGCAAAAATGCAGAACAATGGTTGGAGAGGATGATTTTTGAGGATTCCTAGGAATGTTTTAATTGACTGGAATGGAGACAGGATAAGTATAATAACAACAGACGCGAAATATTTGTGAGATAATTTTAATGTACCTTGAATTTCTTTATTTAAAAAGTTTACTTGACCTTAATTTGCGCATTTATTAGGTAAACCAGGTATATTTGGCTTCGTGTTACATTTTTTCGTAAGTGGTGGCATTGACACTACTCGGGTGCTCAAAACTAAGCAGATCAGCCAGGTTCGAACTGCCACCAAGTGAATGAAAATCAACTGTTGTAGTCGCTAAATATATTTGTTTACAGCAAGGAAAAGAAAAATGTTGATCAAAATGATGCAACTAGCCTGGAAATGTGGCACAGTAACTTAGAGGCTCCATACAATCAGTGTGGTTCAAAACCAGGAAAATTAATCTGAACCTGGTAAATGGAATATCAAACCAACTGGACCAGAAAATGTAAAACCGGAGAAGAAAAAAACGGAAAACATATACAACTTACATATCGTTCACCACTTCACCCTCTTCTTCATCACCATCATATTGTGGATAAGATGACTGTACAAGTGTATTATTTTCTTGATTAGAATTATTTACATTATGAATGGCAGCAGACTCGGAAGAAAGATGATAATATGATGTTGGAAAAACGGTGGAATCGTTAGAATTCGATTCGCTCTGCTGCTTGCTAAATTCGATATTAACAGGTATATTATTATTATCGTTATTATTATTATTATTATACATACAATAACTGAGGTACTCTGTATTGTCAGTCATTGGTACAGTTTGATTTGCATTCCTATTATGTATTTCAAATGCAGATGACAATGAGGTAGGAGACGAAACAACAAACTGATGTTTATCAGTGAGATTCGAATGAACTGTCAAGTCATGTAAAACACATTGACCATTTTCACTATAAGAAACGGAATGATTATCATTAGTATTACTATTAGGAAGAGATTGAAGCGGTGGAGGATGGTAATAATGAGTGGAATTATTAAAATAGTCAGCAAGTGATATAACTGCATTATCATTATTCTGTGATACTGTCACACTCGATGGAGATTGCGGTTGATATATTGAAGCATTCGCATAATTTTCACTGATATTTACATTTGATAAATTAAATCCGTGTTGATATTTTTGCTTCTGCTCAAGCTGAATGGACTGACAATTATCAACGGGTAATCTGTAGAAACCGAATTCATACATATAGTGAAAGAGTCAATCAGTAGTTATTCGAATTAAACAAAATATGATCAATTCGCAATCAATATATGGGGTAGTATGAATAGGTTGTGCGATTTATGCATGTCACGCATACTAGCACATATAGGGAGAGATTCATACAATATTAACCACACTTTCTTTACCTTTGTATGAAAATAGTTCTTCCATTTACTCATTCAGTTTTACATAAGGTTTTGCTGGTTTAGATGGGATAATTTTTGAAAATTCAATCAGTTTGTTTTACATACATATACCGCAGATTGGTGCTAGACACCGAGTTAAAAGGATGAATTATGTATTCTATATAGTATAGTTTATTGGACAGGATATAAATGTTTAATTAGAACCGACGCACATGCTAGTATGACCGATTTCGGAAAGTTATGCACCTAAACAAATGAGTACTGAAATATGCTTACATGCAGTGATTATCTTCATGTTGTGATAAAATGTTGGTCTGGAAAAGAAAAATCAAACGAGTCAAGGTAGTATCTAGGAATAAATAATAACTTAAAAAGATATTTAAGACAAACTATAATTAATGACCTTAGATGTACAACTTAGCGAACTTAATAACTTTATGCAGAAGCTAAAAGTTACTAAACATTTCACATAGAAATTATTTTTAGGCTTCATCTAGTTTTATTCAATACATCAACGCTATATGACAACAAACTAACTGGAAACGAGACACAGGGCCAAGTATAAAATACCATCAGTTAATTGAAAACCATACCCAAAGTTGATTTTGTTAACCAAGTCGCTTTAGCTACCTGCAACAAAGTTTCAAACTTGAAACCAAAGCTTTAGAGCCTTGTCTGATTTCTACGAAGTTTACCTATTGTAAAAACAATTTTATCCATTCGTTTACGAATGATAACAAGTGTAGCTACACATTTGTAAATGGGGATTAGACATGAAAATGTCAACTGTACAAGTGGATTGATGGGTTTACATTTACACAGGATGATGAAATACATTGAAGCTGAAGACAAGTTTTTGTCAATGAGCCTTAGAATATATGCATGTCAAATCTAAAGCTTTTCAGTAACTGATCTTTAGAAACAAATCACGATCTGAATTAAAACCTTTCCCATTACTTACTCGATAGCCCCCAGTCCCCGAAACGCTGGAACCATGGGTTTGGTTGACATGTGATTCATTTGACTGTTTGTTAGCCTTGGAAGCTTGAAATTCTCTTAGCTATTAAAAAAGATATATAGAAAAAAATGTGATGTAGGGCAAAAAATCACTTCATAATATTAGCATGTGTAGTTCATCTACCACGTAAAAGTGAGATAATGTCATTTTGAAATTGTAGTTGTTTGAGGTTCAGAATTAAAAACTGTCTCGGAAAGCAGATGTATCATGCATGTGTGAGTAGTAGAAGCTTGATAATAGTTCTCAAGAAATCTAAACACGATGATCTATCAATCCCACGAAACCCTCATTGGCATATTTACGTTATATAAATTTTATACCTGATATGAAATAAACCGAAAATACCCGTTACGTCCGATTAGGAGAATTTATGCTTTCTGCCTACGTTAAGTTTGAAACTTAATACAATGTCATATATTGAAGTGAGAAACATCTGAGTGTTTAAACCACTTTTATTTTACGAAAGTAAACAAAACACAATATGGCTTTATTAGTACTATAAATATAAAGCACTGTTCAGAGAAACCTGAGTTTCCGCTATGTACGACATGAGACCACTGAAAACAACGAATTACAAAGCTAGTTTAATCCCATTTCAATGATAGTAAGGCTTAGTGACACAACTGCAATTTATTTCGACGTTTTGAAGAGATGTGTCGAAAGATGATAGTTAAAGACCTAATTTCTGGCATCAGGTCTTTAAAACTACCACATGGAAGGTTTATTACACTGAATGACAGTGGATCATATTGTGGAACGTCCTTCGTAATTGGGAAATGTGTAAAGTTGTTAGTGTTTGACCATAGATCGACGTATCTCAAGTAAAGCAAAACGACTGAGCATATAACGATCTTAAAAGCAAATTGTTATATTGAGCTGATAAACCTACAAATAGGGCCGCAAATACCTAACAATCGGAAAATGACAGATAGAACAAACCGTTTCCTTCAAAATCGGTAACTTCTATGCATTATCTAATTTCAGCCACAACCTAATTACAATGTGATTTTGAGTGATAAAGATGATCACGAAAAAAATACAGGATAAGTATTTTAGCGGATTTATGATGACACTATACACATTTTGATAAAAACAATACGCAGATATCCCTTCGATGACTTGGTAACAAACACAATAGCGATCTGTACCCGAACAATAAACAAAAATACCCAATATCGAAAGTGCCTGGACCCCTACATACCACAGGAAAACTGCTACTTAAATATGGATAGCTGGTCTCACGATTTTTTCTTAGACCGAACACGTCCTTAGGGACGCAAAAATTTAATTGAATTCAATTAAATTTTTGCGTAGAAAAATCGAAATGCCAAAACCATCCAACAAAATAAAAGAATTCTGCAATAGTATAGTTGTATGTCCGTAAACACACCTTTTTCTTAGCAGCCGCTATTTTCTCTGCCCTACTTAGTTCCGACATCTTACTCCCGCCAGATTGACGTGTTAAGTGAGCTTGTCTACCTTCATTGACCTTGGCTGCTAGGCTACTATTTAGATGTTTTTAAAGCATATAAACTCCGTGAAAACGCCACACTCAATCTGAGTTTGTAAAACAGATTACGAGCTTATAAATTTTACAAAATTACACAAAAAATAGCAATAATACATCTTCATTATAACGATTAACAGATAGAGATGAGAACATTTTTATTTATTATTTGCATATATATGACATAAAATGACTATTGAGAGAGAGTGTCTTTGTACACATTCAAGATTGCATTTTCGTTTCAATTCAAGTATACCGAAGTTCACAAACTTGAACTGTGTTTTTGTAAGCATTGTTTGGTTGAAGTCATCATGTACTTACTCAACTGCTACATCCTAGTAGTCGACCTGAAAAAATGGTGATCAGTGAATGCAGAATTTGTGCATTCCTAAATATACTCTGCTTGATTACAAAGCGATTAACTGTTACGATCAATGAATCCGAGTACATGAATTACTTGCGAGTCATCCGTCTCTTCAAAAGTTTATGAATATTTATGCTTCAAACTGTCCTCTTGAAGACACCACAAGCATTTCCGCTTTGACAACACTTCGACCAGTAACACCTACCATAAATGAATCGTGCCCACCCAGTGAGATCAAAAGTCAGAAGCGAGGAGTTTCGAAAATATATTTGATAGGCTATCAATATATCGAGAAACGACTGATCTAAACCGGCTACAGATTGCAGACGTTCCTACTCGTAATTTGGTGCGGATGCATGGCCGAGTGCTTTCAGCTAATTGAACTCACTAAATCTAATGTGGTCAGCACACAATGACTTACAAAGCTATTGCGTTTTGAGTTTTATTTACCGATACATTAATTGCACAGCGATTTCCAAAATTCTTAGTTCATATTATAATTCAAATACTCCTAATTCTCACATTGGCGTTGCGATGGAGCCTGTGATGTAATTGTTGAATATGCATTCAGATTTTGATGCTTTTGAGGATTACTTTGAAAGATCCGAAATTTGGGCTATGACCAAGGAAGTTGATGAGGATGTTAATATTGTAGTACATTTCCTCACATTCATTGTAAAAGAAGCATATAGTTTATTAAAAACTCTGGCTTTACCGGAAAAGCCCATTTCGCTTTCTTATACAACTCTCAAGGATTGACTGCCAGACTATGTTAAGTATACAAATTTCGATTGCAGTAAAGGGAGATTTCGTAAAATGATTCACGAGGATATAAAAAATTACACTACATTTCGTCACCCCAACGCAGCACATACTGAAGGTTATGCAGATAGTTCATCGGGGAGTTGAGATGCAGTTCACGAAGATCGGCACAAGTTTTGTCAATGCTTGTCCTGTGGCAGGTTCCACTCTTTTATTTCATGTAAATGTCGTTATTCTAATTGCTTTAAATGTGGTGATATTGGACACATTCAGTCAGTTTGTAATACTGCTGTACATCTTGCTGCAAAGAATATTAATCTTGTAATTCTGATTCCATTAAGTCCAGTGTTCCTAATGATCATTTATCCTTATCAACGATTTCAAAAGACAGTGTAGAGTGTAGTGTCAGTTATTATGCCAAGCCCATATACCATACTCTAACTTTCGGACATCCCATTTTATTCGTTCTACTCGAGCCATATTTTGACCTTGTCAATTATTCACTTATCAGTCTTGACTGTTTTTATATGAGCGTATATGTGTGTGCCCTTCTTATCCCATTAATCACATGTCTGTAGCTTTATTTTGTCTGACTATAAACATTGAGTAACGTTTGACAAAGATGGAGTTGGCTTCCCAGCCATCTTCCCTACGTGTCATTTTGCTTTGCTGTTTCATTCGCTTCATGTACAAAATATATGTATTCGCAAATCAATTCTCGTTATTCGACTTATTTAATTCCGTTATTGGATAACGCGATTTAAGTCGACGATGATATACGAGAATAGGCGATAACAAACTTTTATACGATCTTGGAGTCAGATCCACGGGCCACTAAAATGGTGAGCCCTTCACCGAACATATTCCGATCTAAAAGAGGACAAAATCAAAATGACGGGTCTCAAAAAGAGTCATAAAGCAGTTCAGAGTTAAATGAAACTCATAATCTTTGCGAGACAACAGTTTCTAATCAATCAACTTATCAGATTTCTCATGTTATTATATCAGATATGGTTTTTCCTAATGATTCACTTATTTCTAACGAAATTATTTGCAAATCTGAGGAAAATATGTTGAATGAACCTAGTCATGATCGAAAACCTGATGTAGTTTTGATGGATGCTGATTTTTCTAATGGTCCTTTGCTCTGCAATGACATTCGTAATAAATTCGTGGAAACTATTTCAGAAGAATCAAATCTTGATGTCATACCAAATATTATTCGTCCTCATAATGCATTTGTTTCTTGTGGGAAACTTGTTCAGTGCGAAGCACAAGTACTAAATGAGCTCGATTTTGATTACGATTCAGATGATTTCATATCAACTGCTGTTTATCCTTATCACGAAGTCACTTCTAAAGTTTACTCTAAACAATGTGAGAAATATGTTTTAAATTAAGCCACATTTTTCATAAATCGGGGGTATAAAGATCCAACATTATTTCGTGGGGGAGGATAGTCTAAAAGTCTATGGTTCAAATTCTAGGTAGCAGCGGTTTCAGTACACAACCGACATGTTGGTTACACAATCCCCGGAAGCAGACACAGGATGAACGTAAGAAGACGTACAATCTATTACAAACACTTAAACTCTAAATTAAGCTGTGGCGGATGTGGTGTTTGAATGAACCGATGATTCCTTTGTACTTGTTGAGTGCTTGGTTTCGAATTCTAAATACAGTACATTCGTTTGTGATTGCCGAGTACTTCTTGATCCGAATACGTTATTTCTGGGATTCTCAGTTCATACTATAATTCAAATAATCCTAACTATGACACACCATAACAACATATTACGAAAATATTGTCGAAACACTGATGATAACTCTTTTCTTTTTGTTCGAATCAAATAAACGTACGAATGAGGATGACACATTAGTCGCTTGAATGTGAGTAATTTGCATCAACTTTCAATGAACTTAACAGACACTAATTTGTATTTTTTTTCAAAAGACATATAACCTGAATTTTGCGGTACTGTACTGCAAGCTACCAGGTGATGATGTATAAAACAAGGGATGAAGTAAATCAATTGGAACATTACTTTTCACTTTCATCACTAGTGTATTACAGAGACAGAAGAATCTAATAAGATTCATAACCTTTTTAGGACTGAATTCTTCGTTGTTTTTGAGACATGTAGATCACTAACGTAGATGATCTATGTCGAATGATTGGGTGCCCACTCGTGTTAGACGGGAATGGTGCAACGAACTACCTTGCTTCGAAGTCACTCCTCACATTCAGTACCTAACCTGAATTACACCCTCGACTTATCAGGGCACTATTGTTTCTGTGAAACCCGTACAACACAAAAGACGTTGTTACGGAAATGTGTTAGCGAAAGTAGGTACAAGGAAGAATTTGAGACCACCACCGTGTTAGTCAGTTCGTGGAGTCCAATTAATTGATGCGTGCTAGTTGTCCTTGACCCTGGTGGGGATTGGTGAACCGTTCGACATACAGGGACTCAACTGCCAGATGATTTTGCTAGGGCTCAGTGACATTTGATTGGTCCCACGGACACATTGTGCGCAACAATATTGTTATTCAATCTCTTTAATTTATATTCATCAGTTGTAAGGCATACATCGCTCGCAACGTCATTATATATTACCAATTTCATTACCCAAGTCCTCACTTTGACTTCTCTCAGTTTTGTCGGTTGCGAAATAGGTCATATACTATTGATGTTGCTGTACATATTTTAGGTCACTTTTTACTTCATCCGAACCGTAACGTTTATCTACTCAAAGTGCTTGTAATGAGTACAAGTATTTCCTTCTCATATGTGTTTGATAGTTGCTGTGTGCAAAAACTTTTGCCGAATCCCTCTGTGTGGTCTTTTAAGTTTCCTAGATGAAGAATGTTAGCTCCAATAACGCATATTTGGCAAGTTACCAGAATAAACAGTGGTCAGCAGAGTTAACCATGTCGAACGATAAACAGTCGCTTGAAATCGAGATGGAAAAAATGTATATACGATATCCCGAATTGATCGAAGTTACATGTTTAAACTATTCTATGATATCAGAAGTTCGCATATTGGTTGTGACAGTTACATTTAAAACTACTTTTTGATATTGTTGAATTTTCCACTACTAAACGAATAGGCTCATTATAATGCAGCCGGTTTCCCACGATGTGACAGCCTAACCTATACGATTTTACATCTTAGTCGACCTATTTTAACAGTCGAAACATAGCTTTGTACAAACCTTTTTAAAGTAAATATCCTTAGTTTATTCGATAGAAAATGAAGACGTGATACAGAATAGTCAAGTCTACGTGACCGGATCACACAATCCTGGTAACTTGTCATGGTCCACCCCCACTTGTTATCTAGCGTAAACCCCTCAATCGTATATTCAGCCTGAACAATCATGCGATTGTGAAACGGCACTACCCCCTCAACATTGCAAGTCCTCACTCGACTTTAACTTCAGTTAATAAGGGTAAAGTGATTGCAAACGAAGCTACAGTATAGAAGCCATAAGTTTGATTGGCAAAAAATTCGTCCAACAGGGATGGCTCACACATTTTTATTTGTTTTATTTAAATGAATTTTATGTGTTATCACTCGCTGCTTCTGGGATCAAGTATGGTGAGGATGTTTCACAGAGTAACATCGTTTGCGTTACAATGATAAGCTGTAGAACACTTATATAGATCCCCTGTTACTAACACAACTTTCGGACGATCATTTCAACAAGTCTCATAAAGTTGCACAACTAAAGGAATTATCTTCTGATATGCACATGCTGGTCGTGTTTATTTGCTCGTGTGACTATCCTACAGGGATAAATGGAAGCTGAACTACTTGTAGGGAAACCGATTCCGTAATTTCTTCAGTCAGAACACACTAAACGTAAGTTGTATCTTCTTTATTTAACTTGTGTAGGCGCGGAATGATGTCCCAACACCCATACTAATTTCTTTGCACTAGTATGAGGGAAAATACCTACATATCGAAGAAACCATAAGCATGTCTTTAGAGTCCCCAATGTAACTGATAACCATGATTACAGGTAAACATCGCAGGAATCACTGCGCAACATATACCAGGAGTGAATTACATGACCCTAGAGTTAATTCCGATGACAGCTTTATGGTGTATAATACCAAAACGGACGTTGCAAACTGACGAATATTTGAAGGTAGATTATTAAAGCCCGCTGCCTGGAAAAACAATACCTTTTATTGACAGATAATTCCGATTTGAACATTAAAATTAAAACACGAAGTTCAGCGAAGGGATCTCTTTTCAACGAATTTATTATCGAGCTGTACAATCGTATATTATTACGTCATGGTTAACTGTGTTTACATTTCCCCACGGAATTAGTACTTTTACAAAAAGATTACGTATATATACGATTGTACAGCTTGAAAAGAGGTCCCTTCGCTGAACTTCGTGTTTTAATACCTTTTATAAGAACTGATAACTGGTTCACAGTATACTCGCACTGCCCTTTCTGTAACGACCCAGTTAACTCACCAACTGTTGGTTTATCCCTTGCCGCACTTGATTTATAACTACAAAGCTGAACAGATTTCTTTCTTGTTATCTTACATTTGATGCAAGTAACAACATGCACGGCAACACAAGTAATAAGAGTGGTTTATTTCGAGTTCTGATTGGGCAGATTGTTAGATCAATCAATGTTATTACGCACCATCGGTGTGGGCACTAATGGACTTATACAAATAAATCGCAACATGATGCCGGAACGAGTAGAAACTATGATTTGTAGTGAGCAGTCATATGCACACTCATGAACCATATGTCCTGATCAATCACAATCTTCTCAACCAAACTCACAATCCTGAATTTCAGAAACTAATCCAACACCTTAATAAGGAACAAGAGGAAAGAACTAGTGAAATAACTATATGATAAATGTCAGCCTAAAGATGAAGCATTCCCACAATACGTACCATTATTTTCCCAAGACAAACTCTAAAAGTTTGACTGAGAAACGAGTCGATGTCGATCAGTAGCGTGAAAATGATAAATAACCCAATAATACTGACAATATGGTAACTAACATAGTTTATAGGAAATAGTACAGAGAACGGAACAAATACACATATAAATGAATTCAAGATATAATGTTTGGAATAAAGAGCAGATTACCTCATATATATCAATGGAAAAACCCTTACAAACAGCAGGAAGTGAGTAATCTTTTGTACATGTGGAAAATGGGATATTAGTTTAAATACACATGAATCTAAGTATACATAATAAATATTCGTGAGAAATGAATAGGTTAACATTGAGATTTGTGAGAGTGAGCATGGGATTTCAGTGAATCAAAAAACAGACTGATTGTCTATTTACAAGAGACTAACAGTTTTTCAACGCCCGCAAAAATCAACTATGCATCCATTTGCAAGATAGCTTGTAACGTTTCCAAAGTTATTCCTTCGCCACCATGCTCAACCTGAGTGGTTTTAAAATTAAACAGTTTTGAATTAACCAAATTTTATTACAACATATTTATGAAGTAAAGTGACCAACAGAAAAAAACAGGGACGCTGTGCTAACTAGTGTGAGGACTGAGACTCAGTTTTTGTTGACATTACATACATTTTTACACTTGAAGATGATACATGAATGACATTAGGGGTAGAATATGCTTGGAAATAAGTGTAGTGATCCGTAATTTAAGCGATAAATAGATCATTGGGAGGTATTCAAAGTGACATTCAACCTAAATTACAGTCACATCCTTAAAGAAAAAATTTGGACGTACGCCAATTTTTTGAAAGTTACAAAACGTTTAAACGGACGCATGCGTGTTTACGACAATATCAGCTGACTACTTTCTGTTAACCCAGGTATAATTGGATACGTGCGGTTAGCGGGACATAGATCGGATTAAAGCATGTTCCGTGAGCGATTATGTTGGTGGACGCCGATTGGCTGTTTCTTATCTAATCAGCGCTACTCGGTACTTAGAGAAGGTTCTAGAATCTTCCCATGTAAAAACTGTAAATATACAAACGTTTCTCTTATTGTGCTTCTTACTTCCATCTACCCTTGTTATTTGGGATATAATTTCTTTCCTGTTCAACCGTGTTGATTTGGGGACTTGTCGAGTGAATCGGTGTCTGAGAATACTAAGCAATAGAAATAGCTGGGTCGTAATAAGAGAAATTATAACACAAGCGAAATACAAATCTCAACAGTTCACTAGACTATTTGAAGCGATTAGTCCCTTTGATAAATTTGAATACAGTAATAAGAAGACAAAGATTATTAGAACTATGTGATAATCTTTATTATATCGAATACTAATAAGGTGTCAAAAATAAGCGATATGAGGAGATAACGGGTACTTGATTATTTGTGCTAACTCAACCCCTCAACATAATCTTTCATTTGAATTGACAGCAATCACTAAAGAATGTGAATAACATTCTCATACTGTAACAACAGAATACGACGCCAACATAGTCATTGACTGTTAAGTAAACGAAATATAGGCGTCTTTTGAGATGTACTGATGGTTGAGGAACTCACATAAGAGATTAAATTGATGAGCGATGGAAATTTACTAAATCCTGAGTCACATACAAATAATGTTTTGCTATTCAATTTCTACTCCTAGTTTGGCCGCTTACACAAGTTTATTTCATATTAATTCTCTTTTTATCAAATGACATAGTAATTACCAATCAGTCTTATGTCAACTTATGTTCTTTGTTAGCTATCTATCTATGGGATGTTGAGTAACGTAGAAAGTTAAATCAATGTATTTGTGTCATATACTAGGATGACAGTACCTTTACGACTATAAAATTAAAAATTTCAAGAAAATATCGGGATGAAGGGTAGAATTTAAAGGTTGAAACGTGCAAAGATTTAGAAGTCATACGTGTAACTTTTACACTACGGAGGCTAGAAAGTGAACTTCTAATGGAACTAATAAGTTACAGAAGGTAATATAAGTATTCTCTTTAAAACATCGAGGCAACAGTCAATGTGGTTTGTATAACTTACATTAAAACGGTCTCCATTTGGTTTAGTAACCAAACATACACCAGGTGATACTTCTGTAACAGATACACCAGGAAAAAGGGTGTTGAGATCAACCACATCTCCATTTTCAGCCAGTTGAGCAAGTATTTGTTCTTGTTGTGATAAGATATCATCATTGTTAATTTCAGATTCTTCATTGGTTTGAGATATTGATGGTGCTTTTGACTTCGAAGATGCACCTTTGCGTCTATCTGAACTTGGCTGTTTAGGAGCTGTTACTGCCTTAGTTTTTTGTTCAACATTGGTTGATTCGTATTCATAACTTTCACCCTGAAAATCGACTTCTGACTGATTTGCTTGCTGAGAATCAGCTAAACTGACAAGATGACCTGTGGGGCGATGAAATAGACGACCAGTGGCGGCTTCCATAACCAAATCACTAGTTTGACCATTCTCTGTTAGGACTGTGAGGAAAGCACCGCTGGTAAGCCATTCATCAGGTACTGGACAACCTAAACCCCCCTCGGGAAGGAGAAGCTAGAGAGGAAACAGAAATAGTAAAACTGTTCAATGAACAGGCGATGAAAAGCACTTTTATTGATATTTTTTGAAATATAAATTGGTAATTTCTTTCTGAGATATTTAGCAACACCTCAGGATTTTACTGCTGCATACACTCCAAAAGATGAATCTTGTCCCAGGTTAAGTGGAGTTGAACCACAATAACTGACTAGGAGATTCACATGGAAATTATTTTGTCTGTATTTTCAAACAGACTGAAACAAACCTATAAAGGGATGATAGATTTGTTTCGCATAATACTTCTCTCCATCCTTAATTTCCTCCAAATATCACTTCATGTGTGTGGCGCAGTGCCAGTATTCTAGTTTATCAAAATTCAAGTGTTTTGAATAAATAAAACAAGGAAAACTAAAACCACCCACGAATTCACAACTAAGTTTTAAGTTGAATTAAAACAAAGCTACGTCTCATCTATAGTTTATTAAACACTCCTATCGTTAGTAATTATCATAACACAGTTTTAACCAAAGCTATGATTATAATCTAGAATTTAAAAAATGATTCGTAAAGTGTTTGAACAGAGAACCATAATGTGGATATACATGCTAGTAAAAGTGTAAGCAAGGTTAATGTGAAGAATTGAATTTTCGGTTGGTGAAAACTACGATTCTAGTATCAGTATACAGAGAAAAGTAAATTCTCCCTTAAAAAATCAGTACCACTATAAACGTTACGCATACTTTCTAAATTCACTATAATAAAAAGCTGTTTTCCGAAACTGGACATTATCTTTAAGAACACGCTACACCAAACAAATAAAACTCTAAAAGCACATATACATTTATAAAAAGGCATCTTAAATTACTTGTTTCATTCCTAGGTATTACGAAAAATTTTTTAAATGAAACGACATTCCCGAATATTTCTTTTTAAGCTATAGAAATTAAATATCATAACCGATATATGAACAGCAAAATCCACTAAGTATTTAATGACTTGATACATACAGTTTGACTGTCGTTTGATGTACTGGAGAGATAACCATTACTTTCAACTAAAAATATAACAGATTATTAAACCAATTAACAAAACTCCTTCACCAAGAACATGTTCATATCCATGGAGTGAGCCACAGTTTTATTTGGTTGTTAGCGATACTAGTCAGACGAGGAATTTGATGTAGGTTGAGCAGCATTAGAAACCAGAATCACAATTGAATGCTTAACTCATCAGGCTATCGTTAAACATTTGAAAAATGTTGCGACATACACTAACGTAACTTAGATTTGTACAGATGAGGCATTTCTTGTGAAATCTGAAGGTGCTATTTATCTGAACGAATTTCCGTCAACAAAGAGCAGCTCAAATCTATAACGTGAATGTATAAAAAGTACAGTACTTGAAAAAAATCGTGGATATCAAATTTTACTTACTAACTCCTCGCCCAATGACACAATATTTTGAGAATTATTATCAGTTTGATTTGAAACAGCAGCATCGCCAAAGTGTTGAACTGAGTCTTCTGTAGAGGCAATGTCACTGCGCAAAGTTGCATCGACCTCATCATCCTCAGCTGTCTCCATGGCAACCACAGCACGTTTCTGATGTCCGACACTACCCTTATCAGAATCAGATGCAGCCGCTGCTGCTGCATTTGCTCTTTGAGCTGCCAATATTGATCGGAAACGCCTAGGCAGGTATTCTTCACGTAATGGTTCTTTCACGATGTATTTACCACAAGGTAGACCTAAGGCAGCAGACTGTTCCTCTGTATCCACCTATGTACAAGCAATAAAGTACTGGAAATTATTACAAGTAAATAAGTTACTTAGATCTTCAAAAAAATCTTAGGAATAAACGAAACATTATTTGTATAACTGACAGACCATAGTTGTTCAGTTTTAAAATAACCTGAGGGAGGTTACTAAAAACATTTCGTATATTTGGATACTAGATGAATTACAGAAATACCAACAGATAAAACAAATATTTAAATGTAATAAACGTTACGAGATAATTAACCGATATATGTTTACTGAGAAACTTGTGATTGCTAGTTGGTGTTTTTAAGGAAAAAAACTGAGTCAAAACATATACTGTTGTTATTCCCTATCACGAGACATCGTAAAAATATCTAAGATTCAACAATATTTCATGTTTACCATTTTACAGAGAATAATGAAAACACTGTTTTTTAGTGGATACAGTTGCAATGATTAAAATAGACAGTAATTTAGGGGCCGAAAACATTCTACGAGTAGATACTAACACCAATAAAGTTTGCAAAACAAAATTTTGTTTGGAAGAACACGATAATCGTAAAGCTAAAATAAATGAATATTGTGTACTGATGATAAAATACAGATTATTATAACTCGATAATAGAGCGAATAGCTTACAGCGATTCTTGCTAACACAAGTTGGAGTATTCACTAACTACACACAAACAAGATCATGATGAAAGACTGTAGGTAAACTAACTAGACCATTTAATTAAATAATAAGCTATAGGTAAATGGTGACTTGTTTCGTAATGAATTTTCCAGATTTCAAATAGGAAGCGATGACAAGAAACGTGAAGAAAGTTCAAAGTGAAATGGGTGCTCACTGAGGACATTTACACGGCAAATTAACCTGAACTTGGAAATGCAAACTATCAAATGAATGACATAGCAATTACCTCGTAAAATAATGGTCTTGAGTTAAGTCACTTATGGAAACATCAGTACACATTGTTGAGTCTGAAGCTACAGCGAAACATGTGACCAGTGATACATAACATAGAACATTTGCTCACTAAATAAAGTTACATTATAAGACCTTGAGCACCTATAGAAAAAATGGATTAAATATTTAACTTTAATCCTAACAAGATCAACACAACAGGAAGCGGAATCTCTTGATAATACTTTTACCTAGTAGGGCAAAGACAAAATAGTTCAGCGAGGAGCAACTAACCTTAACTATGATTGCACCATCATCATCATCATCTTCTTCTTCCTCGGCATCATCCTCATCATCATTGTGAGCCCCATTTGATTGAGCATTGGATCTATCTTGTGATTTTACATCAGAAGAGTTTTCTTTATTTTTCGAAGAGCTACTTGTTTCATCGTTATCGTCTTCACCATCTGAAAAGAAAAGAATTTCACTTTAGTCGTTTCATTAACAACTAAAATGCGGTTTTAGCAGAACACGTTTTTAATCAATTGGTGGATTAGAGCGATTCAGTTTACTTCTTTGAAACTCAAACAGTATGGAGATTTTTACTCCTAAAGTAAATCACTAATTAGAAGTTGTTACTTAACATGACTCTGATGTTATTAAAAACCATGAAGGACAGTTACATGGTCAAGAAAGCACAAATACAGACTACTTAGCTATAAATCTGGGTTCTGGTAATCATTTATATGTAATTTAATTAAAGTGGATAGTTATGATTGATCAGAGTTGACAAAATTATTATAGAAATGCTTGAATTAATTACTATAACAAGAACGCAAGGCGATCGGTATACTATTTTGAGATTTTAATCATTAACAACTTAGTCACACGACTAAAACATTTAATTTAGCAACAGACAAATTATTTATCACAATTCAATAAATCTTATTATTTCTCCCGTTCACATTATATTCATCATCGGATAATAAGAGCATTTTTAAAAAAAGAATAAACAAACAGAATTTGCTTGTCACCTTTTCGATTTTCTGAATCCATTTCATTTGACTGCTTTGATTTTTTTGCTGTCCGTGGTTCTAATTGATCGCAGAGAAATGATCTAGCACGTTCTACTAAACTCAAGTAATCCAAAACAACACGAGGCACTTGAGGAAGAGGAGGATTACCATGCTCTGAACGTAAAAGAAGATGATCCCATGGACTAATTAATTTACACAAACGTGGTGCAACAAATTCAATTAAATCATCATCTGTAGCTTCAGAAACAGCCTTAAAAAGAAAACAAAGGATACAGAATCATTAAACATTGATTACAACAACTATGTTGACTTACAATGAGAAAATCCAACTAATGATATATGCAAAAAAGCCTATGAGAACTTGAATTCGGAACTCAGTTTTTGGTTTTGGTAAACACTCGTTTTTTCGAAGTATGCTGTAAAACACGTTCATATCACTAAATCCGACTTAGGACACACTTTATAGAAATGGTATTAACATTGTGAGTAAGCAATCTCAAGAAGATTCGAATGGCGAAAAGCAGGAAGCCAATGGAAAGCTGTAGTCAAAAACGGGTTATTGGAGATGTACACTTAATTCGCAACAACTAAACAGGCATCAAAACGATGTGAAAGTTCATGCATATTGATTTACGATGCTGTGGATTCTGTTATACGAAGATCAATCTTACCTGACGCATCGCCCATATTTTCAAGTATGCGAAATCTAACATTCTGAATATTTTGAACGGATTATCACTATGATAGAAGGGAAAAGCTCTTGATAATGTTAGACGAATGCTCGTTTTGAAAGTGTAGTTTTTGCCCTACTTACACAGTGATAAGCAAATGACTGTCTGATTTGAGCATCCAATAAGTAAATGGATAAAACTCTGATAAAAAATATATCAGCAATGTTTCCGATCATGAGGTGGTTCAGTATTAAAAGTAGTGAGTAGTGAATTGCTGGGTTGCAAGTTCGAAACCCGGCCCAGAAACCGAAGTTGGAAGTCACATAATAAAATTACCTCTGACACAAAATGCATGGCTCGAAATAGAAAACATGGATCTGAGCTCAGTTAATGATTTAAACTAAGTTGCTGATATCAAGGAAGAAATAATTTGACTTGCTTTATTATTTGTCATCAGAAATAATTTACGCTTCAGAACTTCAGATGGTATATTACAGTACTTTGAACAAATTAGTAACCGTATGTTGCAATCTTTAATACACAATGTTTGTGCAAATAAATCAAAAGTATACGTATATAGTGGGGGGTTTACGATTCATATAAAATTTGAGAAAAACTTATTACACAACAGTCAGCTTTTTACGACCCCAGTATGCGATAAATGCAAACAAATCGTAGAAACTAAAAGTAGACTAAGTTCATAAAGTAAGAGTTTCCAGTACCCTATCACTGATAGATAATTCAAGGATTCCATTTAGATCCCGTAATCATTCAGAAAAAATAAGTTAGATGAAATTATATCATGTACATATGTCCCAGGTTCTACGTTATGTATGACTGACTGTCTGTTATGGAATTAGTAATTAACAAGTAGATGAATTGGTTTAAGTGATATACATGACTCACAAAAACTGGGTTAAAAGTCTGATCCCATCCTATTGAACTTGTTCTAAGCAGACAAATCATTGAGTTATATGGTCACGACTAATAACTTATCAAACTTGATTTCTTTAGTCAAAAAACAGATAACATACCTATAAGGAGTCATTTTATATTTTCAAGAGAAAATTTTTGACTAAATTTTATTCTGTGTATCATCTTATTGTTGATGACGATGTGTGGTTCTCCAGGTGGACAGTCGGACAAGTGACTGTAATACAAAAAAACCTTAGGTGGTAAAGTATAATAACGTTGCACTAATAATAAGTGATAAACATTCAGTTTGTTACCATTACAAAAAAAAACAAAGTGTTTCGACCAACTAAACGCAATTCTATAAGAGATGGGATAAATTCCTCCAGCTTGTTATTCTGAACTACATTTTTGGAAAAAAAAGAGTAAAATTACTCTTCATTTTTTCCATTCATTATAAATACCGAAAGTAAGGACGAAATGAGACAGTCGGTAAGAAAATAGTAGATTGAATGATATTTTTTACGAAATTTAAGAATACAAGTACGACTGGTAAAGTTCGGAACTCGTTTAAGATTAGAAAAAAATAAACTGAAATAAAAACTAATTCAGCATAACACGAGAAACTACCTCTTTTAATTTGGCTCTGCGTCGAACACTAGCCATGTATGGATTGGCCCAACGGCCCCGAGGTCTACCGCGGTTTGGTCCATGAGCAATACTTCGATGTCGTGCGACTCCAGCACGAGAAGTGAACACTTTAGTGCACAAGGGACATGGCCAACGTAAACCTAAAATTAATATAAACCGATTTATGCAGTTCTGATGAGGATATAATTTCTTAAATATCATAAAACTCTAACTCAATGCTAAGCAATATCATAATTAAGAAGAACTACCATCGCAACGACAGGAAGACCATAGCAATACGTCTCATTAAAAACGTTAATGAAGTTGAAATCAAAACAATATATAAAAGCGAAGAATTTAGTACGATCTAACCAGACGAAAAGCTTATAAAAAAGACAAGCCAATTAGCAGATGTATATTTACTGGTTGCAAAACTTACTATGTGTATCAATAGTAATAAACCAATCATCAAGGTATAACTTATCTAAATGATCCCAACACATAAAGATGTTCGATATTCCTGAATTTTATGAGCTTATCTCTTAAGATTTAAAATTACAGGGACTAACAAGTAAAAAATATGGTAATAATCGTAGTGTTAAACAATTCATAGTGAAAACGAAGTAACAACTGAAACCACAGAAATGTTAATAGTACATAAAAACTTACTTCTATTCGTGCCATCTTCGGACCAACCTTCATCCGAAAGTCCATCGTTAATATAATCAGAGTAACCTCCATCGGAGTGTTCATCTTCCTCACTTGACTCCGGTTTAGATGTCAGATCTTCTAGACGCAAATGTTTATAGTCCTTAACCTAAAAATACAAAAAACACCTACAGATGACCTATGCAGGATGTCGTAAAAAATATTCGGGATACAATTGATTACTAAGCATGGGAAATAACCTGAAGGCAACAGTTGCCATTGATCGCTCATTAAGGGGTTTATCGACCAAAGCGGTAAACCCACTAATCGTATTTAATGAAACACAAATATGGGTAGAGATTTGAATACTTGGCTACGAATCATATTTTAAATATGAGAGGTTAATAATACTACTCATTCTACCAAACTGACGCGGAGCGGTATCTGAATCTGAGACTTGGTAGCATAAAGTCGGAAGCCTTAACTAATGAACCAACGCTCCACCATTGAGTAAGAAATGATCCTGAATTTTATTATTTATTATTTAAACGCATAAACATAGATACGAGGAGGTACCAAATAGATATGTGCCACATAAATCATCCGATTTATGTGAGGACTGGAATACTGCCCGAGTACCCAAACCGAAGCAGATGGTTTTCTAAGGAAGGCCACACCCGGAGCCTTTAACTGAGAGGTCTAATCCAAAAGGCAGTAGAGCAACGTAAGGAGATGAAGTCCCGTGGAATCCGGCAACCAACTATTAGTTTATACGCCATTTGTCCCCTCAGGATACTGGAGCCCATGTGCACCGTCGGTTTGGAATCAGGGCATACCAACTCCCCTAGGTGGATCCTCCGTATCCACCAATCCGGTTAAGGCACCGGACATTTGCCTTCCGTCCTCTCAACTTCGTAAACAACAGTAACGCCACGAGAAGGCAGTGAGTAGGACTTCCCTGGCAGTGGCTGAATACGCGTGGCCATGTGAGAGCATTTCGGGAGGGAGAGTAACTCAAGTCTAAGAGAGAGATAAGAGTTTGAGTGGTGATTTAATAGTCGGAAACTCGACTGTCTAAACCACTGAGTAAAAGTTGAATAGGTACAATAATTTACGAAACTGTAGTATTAAACATTACCTACACATTATTCAAGTTCAAAATGTTTAACAAACTGAAAATTGACAAGCAGAGCTCTATGCAAAAGTACTTCATGAAAATTTCCTCACCAAGTGTTTTGGAGGCTTCGATACACGACCAGAAGCAGATGTCCGTCTAATTAATGGAAATGGTAAAACTTCTTCTTCCGGCACCTCAGGTTCAAAGTCAGGATCTTCCTCATCTGAACCACGTTTTCTACGTTTTCGTCCAATAGGTCGACCAGCTCGACTTTTTTTCTCACTTTTAACAGTAATGCTGGATCTATTTCTTTCGCCACCTAGTGCTGTAGCTCCAGTATTTCCATCATCATGACGACGCTTTGCACGTGTTACACGAAATATAATGCGACGATTTGTGAGACGATTATAAATTGCACTTGGTCGAGAACCGCTACTTGATAGTAATGCTTGATTTGTTAGGACTTGAATGATTTGTTGCAAGTGCTCGTCGGATACATCTTGTGTAGTTATGTACTGGTTTCCTTGTTGTATAATTCTAATCGGGTTTTTATTTGAACCCACAGGAGCATTTGGATCAGCAGCTGGCATGCGAGCCTGAATTTTCTGAACCTCTTCTAAATCAATGGGTTCGATATCCAAGCCTGCCTGTGGAGGCTCTTGAGGGACAACCATTGACGAATCATATGCATTATTCGCTAATTCTATTGTATTAGGTACTGATGAAACGAGCTGAACATTTTGCCCAACCACTGGTGCAAAGCCGGCAGCAGAAGTTCCATAAACCACTTGAGCATTCTGAACTGGAATTTCGTCACGTTTAAATTCTTCATTTACGAGTGATTCTGATAAAGGCTGTAACGAATTAGCATCGACAATTTGTATTTGTCTCTGTTGCCGATTCGCTGCATTGTATGCGTACGAAACAGCAGCATTATTGTGCTGATTAGAAATCATGAATTCTAACAAAGAAATAGAAAGATGAAACATTTGGTAATGACCCCCAGGTGATTTACAAGATATGCATCATACAACCAGTAACAAATCCACATAGTAGGTGGTAGCGAAAGCTACTTTAGGAATTAAGAACATTATTGTTAAAAACAGTGAGTTTCATGTTACTAAATAGGCAAACAGAGATAGTAATTTTCACTAAATGACGTTATGAGCATGAGACACTGTGCCCAATCATATACGAATCCTCACACAACTTTGATATTTTTGTACATTAAATATGTTCCATCAGTATGAGGTTGTGGAGATTCGAATCCAGGACACTCGGTCTCGCGAACGAACACTTGACTTTAAGATCACTGGGCCGGCATCCAACGGTGTTAATGCCTAACTTCAACCAATTCACGAAATAGCGCGACTATCTTCCATTGTCTATGGTCGATACCGATTAGCTACACTGGTCACGGCATCTCACCAGGACTGCCAGAATTTCCTTGACAGTGCTTCCAGGTTAGCAAAGGCGATCTAACAACAATTGATTCATGATTTCGATCAAAGATGTCTTAATGGGGATGAGAGGCATTGATAATTAAGACCAAATCTTAAAGCTGGATGAATAGCTTAACAACTGCAATAAATAGTACTACAAACGCCATTTACAGAATACTTTCAAACACCATGCTATATTAATTAACGATTATATAAAAACCGTTACTGTTATGAATCTTAAGTCGAAAAAGGAATATGCAGAGTTATATCTAAAATATTAGGTGGGATTAACATGGAATTTCAAGATGTTGGAAAACGGTGTTAACAACCCGATTGTCAATAACAAAAAAGTAATAGAAAACTAACCAAAGTGTCAGAGTTCGAAATTATTAGTATGGAAAGTTTGAGACCAAATTGGATCATTTGAAACATGTTTATTAAAAACTAAACAATGGAAGTCTTAATTCCAACAATTTTTGAGTGGCCTGTACTGTACTGATCATTTGTATCAATAATGTTCAGAGCCCAAACAATAATTCAGGTTTACAGCTTACTGGAAACGCTTGGATAATCCGCCCAGACAACTTAATGACTTACGAACAATTTTATTTATTAATGAAAAGTAATGCTTTTTGCAATATAACACCAATACATCAAAAACCAACCTAATAAAGTTTGATACCTTTTTTCTATATCCCTTTGCACTAACCATACTAGAAGTACATGGAATCCCAATCCTACCTTACGCAGCTGATTATGTTGTTAATCTACTCTTATGTTAGCCAGCACTAAAATTGGCCATCCGTTTGTATGGTACAGATGCTCATAAACAAGAAACTGTCCATAAGCAATACAGATACAAGATAATAATCCGCGATTCCAAATCAAATAAATACTTTATGAGCATTAGAATATTACAACTACAGTGTTTACACCGATAAGTCAGGGTCAGTTGAAATTGAGCTACGAATATCAAAATCAGAACATTTAGATACGAGAACACAATCAATACTACCGCTTTAGGTGGGTAAACAAATGGAAATTTTATCAGCTATGAAACCCTTACCAACCATATCACCAGATTCTGTACAAGATTATTGGACAACTTAGCGTAACACCATAGCGCCAGCGGGACTTAAACATTTACGAAACAATAAACTTAGGAGTAACAACAAAGACCAAACAAGCAATTTTAAATGACTTGTGACAACTGAATTACAACATCAGAAAGTCTGACTAAGCTTAGCTATGTAACTTACAGAACTTGTTGAACACAACCTATAATCAATTGAGACCTCATTTAAACAAAATTACAGTAGAAACTGGAAACTAACCTTTTTCCAGTGACCTCGTAGTCATGAATAAGACGACACCATTTTTGTAATAATGTTCCCCTAATTTTTTTGAAATACCTGAACATAAACTGACAGTGATTCCGAGTTCGGATCAGATCAGCTACCATAGTAACTTCAGTCAATCTTACAACAGGACGAGTAGGTTAATTCCCACTGATTTTAACATAAAGTCATTTTTCGCAATTATTTCGGATTATCAGTCAATTGCATCCAACTTTCTGAAACCAGGCTAAAATTACCTCATTTGATTAAAGCTTGTGTATCTCTTACGTTTTGCCTGTGGAGACTCCGAGGAATGCAAATCCGGATTCAACATCATGCTGTGGCTGAACTTTACCCTCTTCTTTAATACCTAATGGGTCTCGAATCTTCCCATATTTCCAGGGAGAAGCGGGAGTGACTGGAGGCTATGTGGTAATAGCAGAGTTCGCAACTGACAAAATATGAGTTAAGTAGATTGTGGATGGTTTCTCCATTCACTTAGTCAACAATGCTTGTCAACTAATAGAGTTCTTTTAGAAATAATCTTCCTCTGGGGAAATAAGATGACAGAAACCACAGGTATTTGGAGTTCTGCTACGTCTTTACACGCAAATCAAAGGATACAAACTCAGTCAAACCAGAGGTCAGGAATAAAGGAGTTCGGAGATGTATTTGAAAAGTCATAGATGTGTGAAGAAACGTTTGGTAGGAGCTGGCTAAAAGTTGCAAAGGACTCATAGCTCGGCGTGCCCGCCGATGATCTGGTGCCTATGTGTGTACGAGCACCTTCAGCGTCCAGTAGAACTAATGTGGTCAACACCAATGTCGAAGACTTAGAGAACTATTGATTTTGAGGATCTGTCTACCGTTACAAGATGCTCCATGTTTTAAAGTAAGCTTCAGGGATTTATCTGGATACTGACAATTTGCAATATATATAAGGCAAAGTACTCACCGTTTCCCATTTTGTCAATAGTACATGACACGTCTAAGGTAAATAAAATCGGGCAACATGTACAAATTCTGGACTGGAACTTAATGCAATTTTACAACCGGTTGTGAACTTCAAAGAGTCTGGATATAGACAGGTGGAGGACCAAGAGTTCTTGTGATTAATGTGGGCCAATAGGTTGACATATAACCTAAACGTCTGCAATGACCAGTGATATTAGGTTGATCAGTTGTAGCACGACGAAAGAGGAGCCTCACCCCCTCGTTGTCGGTAGCATGAGAAAGCTGTATTTACAGTTCTCATGCGTGGTCCCTTGTAAACCAGAAAGCTTACACTGAACTGAGGGATATCGGATACATATGACCAAGTCTACCAAAGGAGCTGTACGTAAATCGAGATTTTCGGCGGGGAAGGTCAGTCGACGCGTGAATTTAGCGGCCATTGTCTTGTCACAACCGAAAACGTCTAGTCTATGTTGACGTGGTAGTCCTCTAGATACATTAAAATACCTTAGACTGCTTATTTACATGAACAGGTAAATTCGTAACATTATCAGGGACTGAACCAATAACGGGAATCACAACTAAGAAAGTATCAAGAGCCTTCATTCTGAAATAGTTGTCAACAGATAGGGTAGCGTAGTTTGAATCAGCCATTCAACAAATGATGGACGTTTCTGAGAGTTAACAAGATACTATGAACAATAATTCACGGTCAGGCTAATGGGTTGACGAAATATTTGCATCGTCAGCTAAAATTTGCTCTTGAAGCACACTTAAATTTCACCCAGTTGACAAATCCCTGTAATTAATTATATGGAGAATGGCAACACTTGTCTAAACTTGTTCACAGTTCTCTGTAGTAAAACTAGTTTCTAGGTTAATATTAGACTTCCGCATGAGTTTATCAATCCCTGCTTTAAAGTGATGACTTCAATCTAGCAAGTCATGCAAATGGCTGCCATATCAAGTTTATAGGCTTGTCTTTTTGAACTTGCGACTGATGGTAACCTTCCTATTTGCCTAAATACTTAAGCATCTATAGATAAGCATCTATAGATAAAGCTAGTTAGGGAAAAAACGTTGCTCAGTTCTTCGTTTTCAGAAACACTCAAGACGGTTGTAAGAAAACCTAAGTACTTCATTGTATAAGATGAATGGAGTGCCACAATAAGTAGTGATAAGCTGAATCACTGTATGTTTTATTGGACTTTTTGCCTGAGAAAATAATGACAGAATTGACAGGTAATACAGAAAGTTTATACATCTTACTAAAGAGGTCAGGTGATCACAGACGAAAATACACTAGAGGCTACCTAGTGCTTTAGTTCGACGCTCAAAACTTGCAACATATGTCGTAAAATCTCGTCAAGTAAAAAATGGTTTCTTAAAAAACAAGAAAATCAAAAGCCTTAACCACTTACGTATCGTTGTGTTATTGCAATTAAAATAAAAAGTAGTGGTATCAAAATAATGGTGGACTTAAGTAGTGTTAGGCCTCTGCCTTCTCTGATCATTCATTTTTTGTGTGAGTTGTATTCCTTCACACCACCATGACTTACACGAATGTTTTACCCTCTTAACAACTTAACGACCTAACAGAAACCGTAAAAGAGACATGTGATGATACAGCGGGTGCAAATTGATATAATGACGAAGTTTCTGTCAAGGTGGGTGATGTAAACTGCTTACGCCTTTCAGCTATATCATTTTTCAGGTTTTTCAATAGTAGTAGTTGTTCGCATCACAATTCGATGGAACACCTGGTATATAGTTTCAACAGTAAACACCTCGAAACGGTTACAAATATGAAAGTAGCTCACTCAATTACAAGACGGTCATCTCCTATGCGCACATGATTATTAAACCGACTGAAGTTGTTAATAAAATCATGCATTTTCATAACTAACATGTCATACATTTCGCTCGGTGTAAACGAAAGAAATGAGGCACTGGTGAGATTAAACTGGTTGTGTAACTAAGAGTACACCCACGACTATAATATGATGAAGCCAGACATCTGAAGAATTTCAAACTTTCTCTTCAATAGTAAACAAAATATAGTCATTGGTTATAAACCAATTTCTCTATATTTTCGGATGTGTGAGATTTTTAATCCAGAGAGACATAACCCTGACGAAGTACTTGATGATATATTGACTGCTGTCTGAGGCCACACATGTTTTGTCGTAGCAAAATGAATAACTTACCATCAACTACAGAAATATTTAACTCCTCGCTAAATTTTAAAGTATCATTTAGAAGGCTATTTTGCATTATTGTTAATGCGTTTTAAAGCACATGAGATCACTTGTTTTCACTGATTTAGAAAAATATGTAAGAATAATGTTGTTGCGTTACTAAACTGGAGAAATAGATGCATGATGACTACAACATAGTTACATATACACATCATCAAATAACCCACCTTGGCGATATAAAAATTCATGGAAATTCTGGTTACACTTGGATGTGATTTGATAGTGCTTCGTCAAGATGGTAGACAAAAATGTCAGCAACTTTGTACTCATGAGCAGAACAGTTTAAACTTTTATATCTCCTGTGGTCAAAAGTGCAAAGAAAGCGAATTGTCATGGAGCCCTAGCCATGTCATTCGTCAAGCTCGATAATTGTCACGTCTTACGAAGTACCAGTAAACGTTGAAGGATTTAACGAAAATCATCATTCTCAAGGATAATGAATGAACTGGTCATAGAAACAGAGTTCCGCTCTTTAGCTCTCAAATTTGTCCTTACTTATACATGATGTTGGCTCAGTAAGTTAATTTATTCAAACCAGTCAACAAGGCAACGGATTCACCTGTTTATCACGATGGGATTGGGAAGTTTGGGTATTAACCATGAGATCACATCATTCTCACCCAACCCGAGCAGACTTCACCATCATATATCAGTGGTTTTCACACCCGTCCGAGCTTTTAAAGCATCAGTCTGGTGCGCATGTGTATAGACATTCTGTACGATTATTTGTCATTATCTAAGTGGCGTTCGAAATATGTTTCATAGTTTCCAGATAACCTCATGAAACTTGGGAATAGATCAGCAACAGTGTTGAGGTTTCGAAAAAAAACACAACATCAACCTTGAAAAGACTACACTAACTCTGAAAGGGTTCGTCGTCCAAAGAGAAAAGTTTACATAAGAGGCGTTATATGTATGGGCTAATTAGAATAGCCTCAATAGAAAACAAACGAAATTCAACTAGGTGTCTCTTGATAAATGCATATTAACATAGAATTTGGGCCTTATCCCTGATCACTCTGGTAATATCACATCTAGCTTTATTCTTGCGAAGGCTAATTTGGATACCTATTTTATATACAGATAAACCTTTCAAAACATTTTGGATATAAACTGTTATATAAAATGACATGAAAGTAATTAACATGTCGTTCGTAAGGGCATACACTGCTTTTATTCACCATGCATTAACTACCAACAACATAACCGGGCAGACGAACTTTTTTTCCGATTACTCCCATCTCACTGACCCAATTTTTTTACTTGGTAAAATCAATATTCAGTGTGATTGCATAAGATTTTGGTATAGATTTGATTGATCAACATTACATACCCTTTAATGATCTCACATTTCATCATTACTCTTAAGAAATCCAAGGAAGATTGCTGGACAAAACACTGAAATACTCCAAATTTCAGCAGCTAAGATTATTTCAAAAATAATTTATGCTGATGTGTACAAATTGTTCAGAAACTACAGACGATCCTAAGCTCTCCAATTATTTTGTCACTCATAAACCTGCCCTTGATACTTACTCAAATGTGACAATATGTTTCTGTAAGAGCAGGTACACGCCATTTTTACAGGCATGATCTATGATTTACAACATGGGTTTCCATATAACGTGCTTTCCAAGTAGGGTTGATAACTAGATTGACTCGATAAAAACAAAAAGTAGTACATTCGTGCATATATCCTAGAGAGTCAATGGCTAAG